TTGGTTTATTTATTTTATTTTATTTATTTATTATAATTATTTTCACTATAATTGTTGTACATCAAATATATAGCAAAAAACTACGTACGTTATTATAAAAAAAAAACCAAAAATGAAAACAAAAAAAGAAAAAATACCCAGTGTTAAACATATTGTTCACAGGAGTATGTTAAACTATTCGAACGCGTTAGACGAGCATTTACCGCCCTCCGAAAGGGCATCATTAATGGTGGCTGAGGAGAAACCTTTGCCAGACTCATGTAAGCTCAATCGGTTCTTTTTATTTTTTTTTTATTATTTTTTTTTTTTAAAACAAAATAAATTTTGTCGTTATTATAATTTCTTATTATTTTTTCTTTTTTGAAATGATTATGATTATTTAATCCAGTAGTATGCTGTTGAGTGATGATATAAATATACGCCTGTTCAAAAATTATAATATATATATTTTATAAATCAAGAATATTATTATAACAATATACACTTATATGATGTGTTATTTTTTTTTTTTCATATTTTAGCCTAGTGAAAATTCTGCAAAATATTTGCTTAATACATTGAATAACCTATCTATCATATACCTATATTTACATTTCTTTTCTACGCTTTTTTTATATATTTTTTCTCTTAGTTATGTTGCATGTTTTTTTTTTTTTTATTTTTTATTATTTATTTTTATTTTAATTATTTTAGTATACATAATGGATTTATTATCTAATATTATTTGATCAGTGTATAATGAAACTTGTCCATCTAAATTTCTATTTTTCCATTTATAATAATTAATATTAAATAATTAAACTAATTTTGATATTTCTATAATAGGTACCTACACCTACGCCTACTAATAAATAATAAATAACCGAATAGTTCTACCGTCGTTACTATTAAATAATATTTCCTATAATATAGTATAACAGTACCTAGGCACTTTTGAATATATAAACTTTCTTTGTGCCTACATATAAATTATTTACTAAATATTGAAGTAGTTCCCGATACAAGGTTTGAGATTATTGAAATGCATTATCGAAACCTTTTTATTATATTTATACTTAAAAATTTAAATGAAACATAATCTTTCGCAACGTTCACCATTATACACGGTGGGACACCATGTGTCTAATCAATTCTCAAGTTCACGTTAAGACTATTGTGAGAAAATAAGCAAGCATACCAAATTGTTTTACATGTAACTGTTTTTCTTCTTCGTAGTTGTCGGCTTTTAAGGCCATACTGACAAACATATTGGTCTTTTTCCCTTCTGGAGTACCACTTTGTACTATGCGTATAAATGAGCAGTCTTTTCGCCATGCGTGCCCAGCCCAGAAAAGCCGCCTCTTCCTTTTATCATCCATTATATTGGGTTTTTGATAAAGCTCTTTAATCACCGCATTATTTTTAGTCCACGTTATATACGATTACATTAACATATTATGATGAATTATAAATTTCAATAAAATCGTTACGAGGAACGTGGAAAATAATTTCAACCTACCAACCTACCAATAATGTTATATAATGTAAGTAAATCAAAAATTGCAGTTCGGAGGGTCAACGGTCTGTGAAATTCGTTAGCAACCTTTTAAACTAAATGTCTCGTCATAAGCCACCAACTTTGCTCCTTAACCATGACTGCTACTTTTGGCTGCCATTTCTTCGGTCGGTTTTTTATTGTTTACGGGTACAGTTTAGAGAGGCGTCGGAATAAGGATCTAGAGTCCACTGTCCATTTATGAATTTCTATTGAAAAACTGCATTAATGTATTTTCGTCAATGATCATTATAAACGTATAAATAATATAACTGAAACAGATATAACTTTAAAAAGTGATTTATAAAAAAAAAATTGAGCATCTATTCAATTTAAATAAATATAGACAAGTTGCCTATGTAATAGACTATTTTTATTTTTAACGAACAAAGTTTATCCCCGTGGTACTAATTATGCCAAAATCCCGATGGCTAGGTATGTTCTATGTAGCCATTCGAAACGTATATGTATAATTTTGCATGTTTTTTTTCTTGTTTCATGATGGGTATCCCGTATGCATACAACAGCACCAGTACAACACTCCCCGACGGTGCCGGAGGTGTGTGCTGTATGCGTCAACACTGGCAGTTCCCTCATGATGACGTCTCCGAACGTAACTCGCCGGTCGAGTCACACGCTCAGTAACCACGTTTGCCAAATGGACTAGCTGACGCCGTCTCACCCATTCATTCATTATTCACCTATATCTCTCTTCAACTGTCTATCAGCTATCTATCTATTTATGTCTATTTTTCTTTTTCTAAAAATATATATATTAACACGGGTGTTTCTGAATAGTGTGCTGCCGCTAGCATTGCCACACCTACGGGTGACCCAATAATACGATTTTAAAACAAAATTATTCAACCTCCCCAAACTTGATTAAATTAGATTATATTAGGTTAGATTGACGATCGGGGCCTATCCACGCCTAATTTACATTAAATATTGTTTATGAACCCTATAGGTTACCTTACCTTTTAAATCTTACATTAAAGAGGATGTATTTTATGCGAAGTCAAAAGTAGTGGGTTCCCTTTCGCCCCCCCCCCTTAAACCACTGTTTATAACTAATTTGAAATATAATAATAATTTTGGTTTATTTTTAAACTCACACAAATGTTCTATGAGTAAACGTAAAAATACTGGTTTGGGGGGGAGGGGGGTAGAAAAAAAAATGAAAAAATGTCGTTATTAAATCACGCCGCCGAGTATGGTAATTCTAGTGGCGGCACACTATTCAGAAACATCCTGTATAATAATAACTATAATAATAATTTAAATATATTGTTAATTGATTATTGTGATTACATTTTAAGTAATTGTAATAATATTATTTATTTCATTTATTATTTATGAATATTATAATAATAATATAATTTAGAACGAAACATTATTATTGTTATATCAACTAAAAAAAAATTTAATGAATATTATTTATAAAACCTAAATATTATATATTATAATGTAATAGAGCGTATATTATTATAATTATATATATGTATGTATATATGTATATATATATATATATAAAATCATGGTTATATATTAGATAATTACTCTGACCGCCACTGGTAATGCTCCCAGTGATAGGACATTGGACTTTTGAGGATTATGACCCCCCCCCATCGCAAATAATTGTCAGTAATTTAAACAAGACCGTGCCACAGAGCAGGGAATGATTTTTCATTACTTTGTTAAGAACCTTAGTGGCGGCTCGTCACGTAACAATTCTATCTATAACCGTGCATATTATAATATATATAAAATATAGTATATATATATATATATATTTATAAATATATTAAACTAAACGTAAGGCTTAATCGTAAGAAAATTTCGGTATTTGTTTTTTTTTTTTCTTGTATTACTATATTAATGTCATCGTTAGTTACCTAATTTATTGTTACCCCTCTCCCCCCTCAATATATCCAGAATCGGGGAGATTGTGTACATGCATCTCCGAGGAACCGAACAAATTTTCTTCCTTAAATTTTTTTAAAAAAAAAACTTACAACAAATAACGATAGCTACACCGCGAAATTAAACAAAATCTATACATGGCACGCAGTGATTTGAAATGCTAAATATAGGCGGACAAATGGGAGCAGCGAACACTTCTAAAAGACGGGGTTTTAAAATTTCAATAATTTCTATATAGGGCCTCAAGCTTGTTTTTTGGACTTTTCGCATTTATAATTGTTCTATTGTTAGTTTCTGGATTCCTTTGGTTACGCAAAATAAAATCCTACTTTAGCGGTTGCCGTAGTAACCAATCGGGGCGAGCTGAACCAAATATATTTGAAAAACATTTCCTGTGAGGCTATGCCCACAGGTATGGGTGCAAAATTAATAATTATAAAATAAAAAATTTTGTTACTTCATACCTGGTGTTTCACCTATTTTTATACATTGAAATTAAAATGTTGTCATAATTGTGTATATCAATAAATTATTGAGTATGGTAATCAAGAACAATAAGCATGTTGAAATTTTGGATTCTGAACGGAGCTGGATCGTGTGTGTACTTGATTTTTTGCTGTCTACAAAGCAGTAGCGGATATCGGGAGAGGGGGCGATTGGTGGGTCACCCCCCTTCGGGATTATTGTCACCACTATATATCATTATCTAAAACTTAATACTTAAGAATTTATATAGGTATATAAGAAATTTAGGAAATTTACAATACCTCCCCCCCTCAGAACAAGGATATAACCGCCACTCCTATGTGTATCCAAACAAGATTACGACTTGCTTTGACTTTAAAGAAGGTTTATGGTTACACTGTGGATCAAGTTAGTGTTCTACTCAAAGCATTTTTAAAAACTACTTTTTTTGACAAAACCGATTATATTGGTTTATCGCTATTCGGTAATAAATGAGCCGACATTTTCTCTGATTACTTTTAAAGAATGGCCTATTATTTTCTACACTTAAAATGAATTCCAAAATAACATATTGTCCTTTTTTGAGTTATTTATTGCTATTTTAAATATTTGTATTCAGTCAAAAAGATCAAAAATTTGATACAAGATTTATCATATAAATTGTTTCTTACTGAAAGCAAATTTTTATACAGAATATTTTAACTTCTTTTTTTAGTCTGAGGTTTAATTTTTAATAAATGTGATTGCCACTATTATTTTCTACTATTACAAGGACACCCGCAGAAATATAAACTGAAGGGGGTAGGGAGCAAAATCCAAAATTATGCCTAGTTTGATGTAAAAAACATAATTTTATTTAAATTACGGTACTTCCGGTCATACCCATGGAGAACATGCCACTTGCAGACACCCTTTAACTATAAATTAATCCCATTTAATGTGTATTAAATTTATTTCGTCCATCAAAGTTCAAATTTTTGTCGAAATTCTTAAAAATTATAAACAATTTAGATTATGTTATATTTTAAAATTATTAAAATGTTGAATTTAAATTTGGCAAAAATGTCTTAACAAGCTCCGCTCAGAGTCGTATTTTGTTTACAATGTTTCATCGTTGCATTTAGGATTTAAACTAAATTACCCTATATATTATATATATTCTACCTTTCCAACTTCCCAACTACAACAATGGCTTACTCATGAGCTGTATCAGTTTTTTTTTTTATTATTATTGATTTTATTATTAATTTTAAAAATTAAATGATTTTTAAAATATAAAATCGATACACAGGATTAAAGAAGAATCACCGGCCGATTTACTAACGGTGGAAGCGGCGTCAGTTACGGAAAATAAAACATGTAACAAAAAAACGGCCGAGGTTTTATACGTTCTTTATAGTCAACACGATACCTATACGATAATTAATATTTTGTGTAATCTAAGGCGATAGGTATTCATTTTGTTTTTATAGCTGTTTTACAGGACATCCTGTTCACAGAAACAAAATTTGTATTCTCATAAACTCAAAATATGCCAGTAGTACACAAGTAGTACACAAAATAAGTACCTACTTACTGTACATACAATACATATTATACGGTACATACAGCACATAAAATTTTCAACGAATTTTGAACTTAAATGGTCACCCAGATCTCTCCTCATAATTAATTCCACCACTGGGCATATTATACTACAAACACGCTATTATAAATTGTGTAAACCATACAAATTAATAAAACAACAACAAACGAGTCTTTATTAAGCTATAGCCGAACTTAAAGCCTCTGACAGCAGTTACTTTTTAATTTAATTGGTATTAAAAAATTTTAAAGTAAATTCAATTCGGCTTACGCTAAAGGTGCGCTATGAATACCCTATTTGTATTCAGTGTCCAAGTATTATAATTTGCTGATAAAGCTTAATACAAATTTAAAAGAATAAATTATTGTATTCAAACTATTACTATACAATAATTGTCATTAATATAATTTAATTTTAGTAAGGTTCCTTTCCTGTCTATTATAAACTATTAGTAATTCCTAGAACTTAGATTTCAATGCTAAGTACATTTTTTGGATAGTGATCTAAGCCAATACTTTGTAAGCACATAATTCGTTTCAACCAACAGATTAATATCTGCTATTTCATGAGCGAAAATGTTTATTTTGTAATTTTCCATTTTTAGAGAACTGTCTACCATTTGAAAGTCATTTTTTAGGGGTATTATTTCACTGGGAGTACTATTTAGAGCATTTGTAGTTATTTTTCGACAATTTTTAGAGAATCCAAGCCCTAGTAAATTATTATTTATAGTAGACACCACATCAATATTACTGAATCAAACAAATATTACTATAACAGTTAACTAAACATTTTCAACAGTTCAATAAAAGAGTACATAAAACAAATTAGGTACATTTTTTAAATATGTAAAATTGTATATGTCTGTAAAATAAGACAATTGCATTAAAGTAATTTTAGAACGTGAAATTTCTTTGATTATACTTAAATCAAACAATTTGTTTGTTTGTTTCAAATTTTAAAATAAAGAAAACAATAAAATATAAGTATTAGGTAAATATAATATTATAATTTAAATATCAAATATCCATACATAATAAATATATAAATTAACAAAATATACAAATCGAGTCAAAAAGACAAATATAAAAGTAGTTAATTTTGATATTCTATTTTAAATAGAAATAGAATAATAAGAATCAAATAAGGTAAGGTAATCAACATAATATCAGTAATAAACTATCAATTAAAAAATGGTTTTATAATAATAATGTACATCAGTTAATACAGACAATAGCAAAACAATAATATTACTAAATAAAATATTAAAATAATTCAGTAATTTGTTTTAATACAACTAATATAATATAATGTAAAACACAAAAATATCAATAAATATCACACAGATTAATATAAAATAATTCATTAAAAATATTCACTATTTTATGTAATAATAAATATGTTATATTATGTAATTTTAACTGCATAAACTTTTATGGTTAATAAACATTACACATTATAGAGCTCATACTTATACAATTAAATACCTATAGTGCTTACAATAAAACTTTAACATAGGTATCAATATACAAGTCAAACAATCCTTAAAATATTAATTTGATTGACCAGAGCACTTATGTTTTGAATTACACAAAGTCAAAAACATTTTCAAAGCAATAAAATCATCAAATACACAACCTTTCAAACTTGGATACTGTTTGATTAAATTTTTATCAGTGTGTATTAAACATGCAGACCATCCGGCATTTTTGGCACCAATAAAGTCCAGCGAATAAGAGTCACCCACGTGTAAAAAAAGATCACGATCTGAACATGTATCAACAAACGATTCGGCTTCTCTGAATATTCTTATGTCAGGTTTCTCAGACTTCACTTCATATGAAGACAAAATAAATTTGAAGTAATGAGATAAACCAATGTTTTTTATTATAGGCTTTATTCTTGGATCGTAGTTAGACAAGACTCCTAATGGTATTCCTTCTTTTTTTAAATATTCCAATAATTCGATAGCGCCATTCTGTACTTCAAATGTTTCTCCAGTACTATATGTCATCATCAAGTCATCGATTACAGTATTCATTGGTACATTAACATTAATATTTTCTATTTCAAATGTTTTACTTAAAACATTATGTGCATAAGTTCTCCAAAATGTTTCCCAACCAATACCAGTATCAAGGCCAAAGTTTGGATGTTTTTTTGTCATAAATTTCCAATTTTTGTTAATCAAATCTTCAAGAGTAGATGTTTTTACTTCTATACCATATTTTTTTAGAATATTTGAGTACTCTACAGCAGGACAACTCCGATATTTAAATAAAGTGCCAGTTATGTCAAATGTTATCAATTTGAATGGTTGACAAATCATTCTAAATAATGTAACCTGAAAATCATTAACATGTACCTATTTCAATAAATTAAACATTATAAACAAGTATATACTTATAAGATTTCAGACAAGTAAAAGTAAGACATTAAAAACAGTTTTACTTTTCAAATTCTCCAAAACCAAACTTGTTTACAATTACCTAAATGGTAAATTTAGTTAAAATTTGTCTACCATGACTAACGTCAAACAAGACACAAATAAATATTTGTGGATAATTTAATGATATATAATCTATATTTTCTTGCAAAGAATTAAATTAGACATGTATGGTCATCATCAGATATTTTGTTGTAGACCAGGCCAGATGAAACTACTGGTTTCACGCTATTGTGCCGCCCAGCTATTGCCAAGATATCTGATAATAACTACACCTTCCTCCATTGCAACAAAACAGTAATCATGTTATAATATATTGTCATATTTCATATTTGTGTCTACATATGAATAACTTGAATCTATAAAACTACTTAATTTTTAAAATATAAACAAAAAAAAATACAAAATTACTTATTTTAAATTAAATTTTATTAAAATAAAAATACAAAAACTAACTGTGTTTTAAATAATATTATTAACTAATTTATTTTAGAGATACCCGTAAAAAAAAAAATAACAAAAACAAAGACTGCTGCAAATAAGTGCATATAATAAGCTGCATTAATAATGATTTAATGTTATGAATTTCAATGAATAATTTAAAGTGCTATGTAGATATGAATATAAGTATAAAAATATAAAAATTATAATCTTAAAAAAATATAAATAATTTCTAATTAATGCTGACAGGTTCACATAATATAAAATAAAATTAATATGACGCAAATTATCCAAAAACACACTGAAAATAAACTATATGAGACATGCTCATTATTCAGTTAGATTATCTAACTATACAATAAAATATATAAAACTATACAAATAATAATAATATTATTAATTCCTATATTACTATACGGACTAACCCAGCAATGTTTTGCTATTGCTAGATAATTGTGTAAAGAATAGTAGTAATAATAATAATAATTTTATTATCTATGACATTGTCTTCCATGTCATCAAGGTAACCCATGAATAAACAAAAATAAATAAATAAACAATTAAATTTTAGCAATAAAAATATTTAAAAACCCCTATTTTCCCACCTTAAAGATTGAATTTTCAAAAATCCTTTCTTAGAGGATGTCTAAATTACAATAACTGTCTGTACGCCAAATTTCAGCCCAATTTGTCCAGTGGTTTGGGCTAAACAATGATGAATCAGTCAGTCAGTCAGTGAGAACATATTATTAGATACATCTCAAACAAAAAAAAAAAACAGAATTTGATTATTCTTATTATCTTAAGAAATATTACAATGGGTATACTTTATAAGACACTCAGTATATTAATACATATTTCTATTGATTAAAAATTATACTACGCTGGTACTATCATGCAATACATTAATTAACAAATTTAACACGTTGTGCTTGATACAAAATTCAATCAGGTAGGTATTTAAAATATCTACTATTGGTTTTCTATTAGTTCAGAATAAAATATAATCCACTCAAAATATTTATTTTTATTATTATTGAATATTTTTCAATCTATGCATAAACACTCAAAATCTATTTTTTTTCTCACTCATTAGGCAACAATTGTTTTTACAGTGATTTTATTTCCTAGATAACAATTTTAGAATAATAAAAAAATAATTCAAAAGTAAACAATAATTTAATTTACTTATACAAATATATAAATCATTTTTTTTGTTGATAGACACCATGGTATAATATTCTCATTCACAAATTTAATTTATTGTACTACCTGTATTTGAATTAGGAAGTCATTTGAATCAAGTCCAAAGGAATTGTTATAAACTGCTTCTTGTCTTGATATAAAACAGTAAAAGACTAGGTACGCTTATTTTGAAACCATATAATATTATGTATAATTATAGTAGATTATCATTAACTCGTAGAAAAGAAATTAATTATCGATTAAATTGTCTTGTTAATCACAATTCCGCAAATTGTTTTTTTATTCTCAAGTCATTAAATACATAATTTAACTAACAAAAAAAAAGACTGATGAATGCATGAAAAAATATTGAATTCGCTGATGCTTTAGAGCATTACAGTCATGCAAATATAATAATAATATTTATCACAAACGGCTCAGTGCCTAATAATTATAGCACAGATAATAAAGACTTAATAATAATAATAATTATTAGCAATAGATAATATATACATGGATCCGATGGATGAGAGTATGAGATATATCATGTATTCAAGTATGAAGAGCATACTAGTTACCAAAGTGGTTACATTAAATTAAGGTGTGGTATCAACCATAAGTGATAATTAAAATAAAATTCACCGATTATCGGTCACCAAAATAACAAATTCGGAAATTAATATTATTCAGAGGAAAATGAATAGGTAATTACAATAGAAGAAAAATTGGCATGAATCAGATTGATATGAGCGAGGATAAAAATAACAAGCGTCTAGAGCACGGCTAGACCATTGAACTATAAGATAACTTATCTTATATATATAACTCAACCTTTTTTCATTCACGTACCCCTTAACCTCTCACTACTAGTAGTAGCTTTACGGGCCCCCAACTGTCAACTTGCCATATATTTTCACATAATATATATAAGTATTTACAAAATAAGTAAAACGAAAAATTCGGCAATATCGTAATATTTGTAATAGGCACAAAAAATTAAATGAAATCTAGTCTACTACGTGACGCCGCTTAATGATATATTTCATATTATACCCACTGAACTCTATAAAATTCAGTGGTTACACCTATGTATAATGAAGAACCGATTTGCAATCACAAAAACACAAATATCAAATACAACAATTGTCACTTTTAACCCCCAATACGTTTATTTTTTTCCGCGAATCCCCTAATACCTTCTTGCGGACCCCCGGTTGAGAAACGCTGTTATAATTTAACGGGCTAAACTGACTAGACAGAAAATCCGAACGGCTGTCAGATGGCCGACTACGTAATCATCTTAGATCATGTACAATTATATATATTAAATATATGATCCATAGAGTAATTTATGCTACTCTAATATTACTCTTAATATTACACAGAGTAATGAGTCTATGATATAATCTAAGGTTATCACAAAACTATTATCATTATTACTTACAGCTTATCATCACTACATTTTATACAATTTGATTTATATATTTACGATTTTAAACTTGTCTACGTCAGTAAATTGTTTTTCTTTTAAAATAGACTGTTGCTTATATGATTGGCTATATTCATTGTGTATGTTTAATATAAATGTTACGAACTATTTGATTTTCTAACTAAAATCAGGATGTTTTAATCGGTCTAAAAATCAAACGGAACACTTTAGGTATTTAATAAAAGTAATAAATACAAATTTATTGCTATTTAGTATTGTGCGAGTATTAATTAATTTATTCATTAAATACAATATATTATGTTATTAAAAGTAAATACAAATAATATTATATATGAAAAATTTTTATAAAATTATATTTATATTTTAGATTCTGAGCGTAGCAAGGGAGCTATTTGTTTTACTAATATGTTTATTTTTCCTACTGGACATGTTTTTTCCTAGTAAAATTTCTCCGATTTTTACGTGTAGTAACTTTTCTGAAAGTTCAAGTTATCTAGGTGGTAATTTTAAAGAAGTCATTTTTTTGATTTTCGATGCAATTTTTTAAATAAAAGCACTTAAATGGGAAAAAACGTAGAAAAATGTACAATTTCACGATTTCATTATTTCATAAAAATACGGACTACGTTTTCTACCAGAAAAAATCATTTAATCGAAAAATCACTAGGTACCTTTTTTTTTTGCCTTTTTGATTTACTTTCTTATGGTATCATCGCCAAAACTTTTGAGATTTAAGGAATTTTAATTTTTGGGAATTTTTATTGCTGTATTTCAGTTACACATAGAGGTTTGAAACTTGGTAACAATAATTATATTGGACTTACCTAGATGTGATAAAATTTCCAAAATCATCGGACGCCTTTTTTTTTTTTATAAATAAGAGTTTTGAAATCAAATTTAAACGAAAATCGCAAAAAAGACATTACAGTACTTCAAATTAAGCCGGTCCCGCACGACTCGTGTACTCGGCGAATAATCTTACAACCGTGATGCCTTACGAGGCCGTGTAGGAGGTGTTTCATCGTCAAATATGGGCGATTATTTTTACTCGTCGAGTCACTTGTCGTGTCCCATCGGTTGTCGGTAAATGTGACACGAGTCAAAAGAATTATCGTAATCGTGGAATTTCCCACACGACTCGGCCTTGCTCGCCACTCGCGCCGATATCGACGACAGCGACAAAATATAGTAAATTATTATTTTTGTCCGAGTATCCGAGGCGCGTAGGAGTATTGGCGATGACCAGATGTAGTATACGGTGATCGGATTATGGTTAACGAGTGCACGAAGATCGGCATGTGTACAAGTCGTGTTGGGAGCGACAAATCGCCAAGTCGATATACTCAGCGAGCATCGTAATCGCGTACGTTCGCCGAGCACACGAGTCGTGTGGGACCGGCTTTATGTATTACCGAACTGCGCTCGGCTTTCGTCAAGCGATGATTTATCGTTGCTTACAGATATACATGAAATAACCTTATGCATCCTTCCTTCCCGAATTCTCACCTACACAAGTAGCCACTCCCATCCCCCATCATTATCAGCTCTTTTTATATTTGCATTTATAAATTGTATTTTAGTTTTTTGTTATGTTCTAATTATCCTACTTTCATTATTATTGGTAGAATTAATTTGAATGTAAGAACCTGTCTGCATAGATAATACATTTGGAATAAAAACTGTATTTTATTTCCATTTATATTTAATTTCGAATGTGTAAACATTATATTATTTTTCAAGAGCTTTTATACACTAATAACAATGCAAACTAAAAAAAATAAAATGCCTCTGAAAAATATTATTTTCCGAATTTGTTATTTCGGTGACCGCCAGGTGGCCGGTAGGTACTGATAAGAATCGTTTATGAGTTCATGATGGAACCGTTTATTTTATTAGTAATATAAACTGTAGATTCTTAGTGGAGCGAAGAAGCTTATGATTTTACAAAGATTCTTTTCTTTTTTTTTTTGTGCACAATTTTTCTACTAGCAATTTGACTTCAACTTTTAATGATAGCAATTTTTCTGAAAAAAAATTTCACTAGGGAGGTACTTTAAACAGGTCATTTTTCCATTTTCCCCAGAGTTTTCTCAGCAAATGTGAAATACTGGAATAACCGGGAAAGTCGGTGCAACATTTAACAAATAGTATTAAAATAAATATATTGAGCCCATTTAATTATTTTTACTATGATATGGCATATATATTGTTGACAAAGCATCACTATCAACTGAACTCCGCTCAGAATCGTATTTTCGTAAGCAATAGTTTATATTGTTGCTTACAGATATACATTAAATTACCTATAACAGTGGCTGCACCATTATTCTAGGACGTTTTTTTTTTTTCACTGTTTCGTAAAATACATGGTATGTTCCATCCATGTATATATTATCTATGGTTATAGATACATTATCAGGACTATGGTCCTACTTTTACAATTGATACCATATTTTTAGGTTAAGTTCTAATTTTTTCACTTGTCATTTAAAAATATTGTATCATTGTCTACTTCTACTACTTCTAGATTATAGGCATTAATACATAATTAAAAATCGTACATCTTTAAGTACACTCCGATTGTCCGATTGAAATAATTTACATTTAAAAAATGGATACAATTATCGATAGAGGTGCACCTAAAGCTCGTAATTTCGAACCATACGCTAGTAACGGAGGGTAAGTAATAAACGTTTTATATTTAAATGTTTTATTATAATGTTAAGCGGCTTAAAAAATTATTTATAATTGTTAATCAATACTTTCAGATCAATTGTCGCTATTAGCGGTAAGGATTTTGCTATTGTCGCTTCAGACACTCGTCTCAGTGAAGGATATATGATTTACACACGGAAGCAATCAAAGTTATTCCAACTGTCTGACAAATCGGTTCTTGGTTGCACAGGATGCTGGTGTGACACATTATCATTGACTAATATTGTTGAAACACAGTTGAAGGTATTTAACTTTAAAACTATACTGTAATTTACCTGGCAATTTAAAATTTAAAATTTGTTTTTTTTTCAGTCATACCTGTACGATCATAACAATGTAATGCAGCCAGGTTCTATTGCCCAATTGCTATCAACTTTGTTGTACAGCAGACGCTTTTTCCCATATTACGTATACAATGTACTCGCTGGTCTTGATGATAATGGTGAAGGATGTTTGTATAGTTATGATCCTGTTGGCCATTGTGAAAAAGTGTCTTACACTGCTGGTGGCAGTTCTGGCGTTCTCATGCAACCATTTTTGGATAGTTGGGTAAATTAAAATTTGTTTAGTATTATTTAACAAAAATCTGATTAATAATGTCATATCAAGTATTTAAACTTAATTAAATATAATGAATATTGCTAAGAATGTCAACTTTTACAATTTCAAAAACTGGAAAACAGAACCAAAATATTTCTGTACACTTGTATCTAAGAGTTGTAAAATTCTCATATAATTATAACCACTAGATATCTGTTCTAATTATTATACTACACATTAGACACCATAACTCATATAGAATCCTCATAAATCATAAAACTTATTAAAACTTAACATCTATTATTAAACAAAATATGAATAGAATTCTGACCATAAGTACTATTGTATGTTTAATAAAGGTCAATTGCATTACAGTTAGATATTAATATAATTAATGAAATTGTTTATTGATATCAGTTTTGCAAAATTTATGGTAGAAAAGTTGTTCACAGAAGAAAAAAAAGAAGCATATACTTCAAAATTTGAGCCCTATTTATGACATTAGTTTTTAAACCCGCATTAACTATTAAAACCTTATTTTAAACCAAATTTTTTTAGTCAGTAATATTTTTTCATACATTTTTTTTTTGAAAAACTTATATTTTGTTTATTAAGGTTCTGCTTCTGATATAATACATTAGCAAACAATGGTTTGAAATTTACTAGTTTAAGTGTAATATTTGTATAATTTTTTCTGGTAACCTAATGTTTTTTTTTTTTAATTTTAAGTATACCTACTGCATAATTGATATTAAAACATTGTCTTTTATTTTCATAACCATATATGATATAATTTGTATATCAAACTTTAGTAAAAGCTCTAAAAAAAAATACCGTTTGTTAACATTTGTCATCCTTTACTAAATAATTATTATTACAATCATATTAAGCATAATAACAAAAAAATTGTATTTTTTTTTTTTTACTAGTTGGCGAAAAGAACAGCAGATAACCCTGTGTCTGAAGAAGAAGCTTTAAACTTGGTAAAAGATGCCTTTACCGCAGCTGGAGAACGTGATATATATACTGGTGATGAAGTAGTATATAACATAATCAAGAAAGAAGGAATTAAATCGGGTGTGGTTCAACTCCGTAAGGATTAAATAATAATAAACAGACAAGAGTCAACATTTATAATATTTTTTTTTATACATTAAATAAGCGCATAATATTGTATTTGATGAAAATAATAAAAGTAATCAGGATAAAAATTAATTTTGAATTATTGACTTAAAAAAAAATAAAAATGTTTTAATGATGATAAAAAAGTTTACTATTGTATAAATACACCGTTATTTACAACCGTGACTAGGCTTGCCTACAACTAAACTGACTATAGTTAAATTTATTATTAAAGTTATCACTAGGGCACGGATTTATATATACTTAAAATCCGTAACAAAAAAGGACTTTAAAATATTTAAAAAAGCATAAGTGGTTGACGAGTTTTAAAGTTCCTACTCTGACAGTTCTCACCCTATTAGAACATTTTCATTTAAATTAAATTTCAAAACGTTAATAAAAAAAAAAAAGTCACCCGATGATTTTGGAAATTATACCACTTCTAGGTTAGTACAATATAATTATTATTACCAAGTTTCAAACCTCCATGTGTAATTATAACTGAAATACAGCAATAAAAAGTCCCAAAAATTAAAATTCCTTAAATGTCAAAAGTTTTGGCGATGATACCTTAAGAAAGTTAATTAAAAAGGCAACAAAAAAGGTGTTTTGTGATTTTTTTGATTAAATCATTTTTTCTGGTAGAAAACGTCAGTGTTGTCATAAAATAATGAAATCATGAAATTGTATGTTTTTATTCAAAAAATGACCTCTTTAAATTTACCATTTGGACAACTTGAACTTTCAGAAAAGTTACTGCATGTAAAAATCTGAGCAATTTTACTAGGAAAAACGTGCCCACAGACTAAAAAAAATAAACATCTTAGTAAAACCAAAAGCTCCCTCACTATGCTCGGAATTAAAAATTAAATTTTACTTACCTCATCCGTGATACGATATGCAGTAATTTTGACATTTCTTTGCATGTTTCACTAAGTCCCGTGCCATTTCGAACATCCCGACCTATACAAATTAAAACATATGTTAATAACAATCAGTTTTGCAATTGCCAATTGCCATAGACAAGTATTACATTGTTGCTATTTGCTTTAACTGCAGAGTAGATGAAGTAGATTTGAAGGGTATAGGGAAAAAACCAGGCAAGTCACTTTTTTTCTAAAATGACGGTATTGGTATCAAATAATTAGTATTGACGAGTCGTATCTTTTATATGATCGAAACGGTGAAAAGACCAGCAAGTCGAAAGTAAAGAATGCCAGAAGTTTAGGCCTGCGGGTAAAAAACCCAGATAGTCAATTTATAACCAGGTAAGAGTTGAGTTAACACATGGCTATAGCTTTGTTTAATAATATAATATGACATTATTATGTTATAGTTACTACATATGAAACTAAACTTAATCTGAACTTTTTAGTTTGTAACAAAAAAAGTTGTTACATTTTTAAATTAAAAACACGTCTTTCTCAGTTTGATAAAAAAGTGACTTCTGGTTTTATCCTTGTCCCCTTTATTTAATTTTTTTATTATTCGGATGAAATAGTTTCAATGTATGCTTTAACTTGAGCAATTTTTTTTGTGTGTGTGTTACTTGTCTTAATTTCAGTTTGAGAGTACCTATTGTACCTGTTGCACCAAAGCATGATATAGGTTTGTTTATAAATCGAAGCTTGTCATATGTTGAAAAAAACATTGTGAGTTCATTAGTCATTGATAGTATTTCACATCTATAAACTATGGCATTAATATTTTTAACCAACTAAATGTTGGTAGGTAATAGATATTACTATTATTTAATTATTATGGTTCATTGATTCTCCTCAGTAAGTCCACATTTTTCCATACCGCCAATTTTTTTTTAATATTAAATAATATTCTTGGTAACAACTCTAATAACTAAAAAAATAAATTATTTTTTTATAATTAGTAGGTAACGACTTTGCGAATCTATAACTATTAACCAAAATCATATAATCATAACTGACAACATGGAATAGTCCATTATATGCACAAAACAACAAATTTGTATATTATATCTGTTAGCGTCGCCATTACCAGTGTCGGGTCTTTTTTAAATTTTATGAGGTTAGGTTAGATACACTAACACTAATGTTAGTATATATCTGTGCACTTGCGTTATCTAGCGTAAATTTATAAACCGAGTATTTTTGCTTTGTTCAACATTACTCCTTTTATTCTGTCATATAAGCAACTCAAGTTACACAATGACTATGACACTATTTCTTATCAAAAAAATAGCAACGCACTTGATAATTATGTGATAAGAATTTTTTGACAAGAGGTGTAGGGTATTAATGTTATCATAAAACTTACCGATGTTTTGAAAGTATTTGGTTGAAAAAACGAATACTGTGTGGCGTGCTCGATTAATGATAGTATCTGGTGGCGTGTCTCGTTTCGCGTGTGTATCTGTGCTCGTGTCAAGTAATTATTATTACCCATGGTCAATGCTCCTAGCTCCAGTTGTTTTTAAATTTTTGTGTTAATAGTACGTTTTTTATTTTGAATTATATATTAGACACTGAAATTATTTTAAAATGGAGCAGCCACCAGTTAAAACAGCCAAACAATTAGAAAAGGATGCCAAGAAATTGGCCAAGTTGGAAAAGTTTAAGCAAAAACAAGATCAAAAACAAAATGCCCCAAAAGAAGAAGTATGTACTTAGTACTAACCTATTATATTTATTTTACTTTAGTAAAAAATAATAGATTTACATAGTTTATTTGATGAACATTCAACTAGGTTCTTATTGTCGAATAGTCTTAAGAATAATTTATAATATCTCTTAAGACTTTAACTGTAGGTATATTCTGTTTCACATAAAGAAAGTTAATTAAAACATGCATATTTTGCATTCCTTCTATAGAATTCAGTTAACATTTTTATAATTAAAAACAAAATTATATAAAAAGCTTCTACAGAACTTCTTACACAGAGGAGTCACGGAAGATGATTAATAAAATATCACCAACACCCCTGGATGAATCTAAGTCAAATTTAGTGTTGATTGTTTTAAACAGTTCAAAAAATAACTCTAAATGTTGGACACAAAAATATTTTTATTGTATAGATTGTATCTATAAAACAGTAATATTTTTTTATTAATAGGAATAAAAAAATCAATGTTAACAATCAGTTTAAAAACTCAGAAATTAAGGGAAAAGTATTTAATATATAGTAATTTATTGGTTAGATATTTTTCAAGTAACAATTGTGGTTTTATACCTGGGATCAAGTTATATTTTTAAATCTTTTATTTAAGGAATTAATAACATTATTGAACCTTGAATTATTTGTTGTTTACACACTAATGGCATGTTAATATTACCATTATATATATATTCTGTTATATTACTTACGTTTTTGTTTACATTATCAGAAAAAAGAAAAAAAGAAGCCAATCAATAAAGAAAAAGGAGTTATATTGTATGAACAAGATACTAAACCAGGTGATAAAAAAGATATTGCGTGCCCAATGCCTGATTCATATAGTCCTAGATATGTTGAAGCTGCATGGTATAGTTGGTGGGAAAAAGAAGGATTTTTCAAACCAGAATATGGAGTAATTATGTATATTTTTTTTATTATACATTGCCATAGTAAATATTATATTACAGTTATAGTATCTGTGTTGCTGCTAATGAGTATTTCAAAATTACACACCGTTTAATGTTTGTAATTATGTGTTAGTACATAACTTAGTTATAGTATTGTATAGTATTTTCAATTACTATCAATGATTATTATACCTAATTTTCACGAAATACAATATTAATATTTACTTGGAACATTTTGGTACTGGTCTCATGTACTTATATGCAATTTGTAAACAGTTTACTGGTCTCATATGCAATCTACAATTTACTATCAATTTATCAGTTTTACTACAAAATTATATTTTCATTCTTCTGCCAGTTAAACATATTATTATTCATTATATAGTCTCCATTTTTTCGTTGACTATTAATACATTATTGTTACTTTTTTCTTGTCGTTTTTATTATTCTTATAATTATATCAACTTTTGAACTCAACCATAGGTAATTTATACAAGGAATATTATTTGGGATGAAGTACAATGTGTACCGTATTTAAGTAAACAGAGTAAAAACTAATTACCTATACGTTAGTACCTGGAGATATGATGGAGATGATATTGAAAATGAAGACAAAAATTATGAAAACAGAGATATGAATCCTAACAACAGTTATGATTCACTAATAGAGGGCCCTTAAGTTTTTGGCTTATGTTGGCCACATAATAAGATTTTAGAAGACAATGTATTATTATTAAAAAAGGAGATGCGAAAACCTTTTTGTTCATAATTATGAGCGAAGTAAAATTACAAACTACTATTTACAGTAAATTGAAAGCATATTCAAATTTAAATCAACTTAGATTTATCTGTAAAACTGTTAATCACAATAAAAATTGAACCAATAAACTGGAATCTAATACTCACATCTAGAACATTGAATGTGTATGGCGTTATACAAAACAAAATTGTAATATACAAGTTAATGGAGCCTATTTGCTTAGAATGTGGTTATAAGAAGAATGGTGAAATGTAACCACCAAAAAATGTAATTTTTAAAAAGTTTCTTAATGACAGAGTAACCTTTTGTGAGTAATACTTTTTAATTTTAATATTATATCGTGTACTATTCATTTTTCATAAATATTTAATATAAATTTATTTTAATAATTATAAAACATATTTTTCTTTTGTTTAATATCGGTAGAACATCTACAAGACCAGTGAGCAAAATGTAGATTGCATATGTATATTAGTTGTAATTTTTTTTTTCTGTTTAATATGTATGTTCAAATGTTTTTATATTTTAGAAAAATAATTTATTAGAAGAAAACCCAAATGGAAAATTCATTATGATTATACCTCCACCTAATGTGACTGGATCATTACATTTGGGACACGCTCTCACTAATGCAGTAGAAGATGCTCTTACTCGTTGGTGTGTTTGACATTTTATTATATTTTAATTTTAAATAAACATCATATCTTTGATATTTTTAATATTAGGAATAGAATGAATGGAAAAACTACTCTGTGGAATCCTGGTTGTGACCATGCAGGTATTGCTACTCAAGTAGTGGTTGAGAAAAAGTTGTGGAGAGAAGAAAAAAAAACTAGACATGATATTGGCCGTGAAAAGTTTATTGAAAAAATATGGGATTGGAAAAAAGAGTTCGTATTTAATGTAGAGATCTAATTTATTAATACTAAAAGTTACAATGTGTTTTAGAAAAGGTGACCGTATATATGTGCAACTTAAATTACTAGGATCCTCTTTGGATTGGGACCGTGCATGTTTCACTATGGACCCAAAGCTCAGCCATGCAGTCACAGAAGCTTTTATACGTTTACATGAAAGCGGTGATATATACAGAAGTAACCGTTTAGTAAATTGGTCATGTGCTTTAAAAAGTGCAATCTCTGATATTGAGGTTAATTATACTTATAGATTGTTTTTATTGTTATCATTAATATTATTGAAGTTACAATAAAATCCATTACACTATTTAATTATAATAATGTGGTATATAAAAATAGTAAACAATGTTTGTATGCTATTTTTTATTTTCTAATTTCTAAATCCATTCTATAATTTATAGGTTGACAAAACTGAACTACCTGGTCGCACTTTCTTAACCATACCAGGTTACACAGAAAAAGTTGAATTTGGTGTTCTTGTATCTTTTGCTTATGAAGTAATTGGAGAAAATGAAAAAATTATTGTTGCTACCACTAGGATTGAAACTATGTTAGGAGATACGGCGATAGCTGTTCATCCGACTGATCCTAGATATATTCATTTACATGGTAAATTTGTGCAACATCCATTCTGTGACCGAAAATTACCTATAGTTTGTGATGATTTTGTGGAAAAAGAATTTGGAACAGGTTAGTTTTCTCTTAAATAACATATAACAATAATATTTTGTTATTAAATTATATTTAATTGCAGGTGCTGTAAAAATAACGCCCGCTCATGACCCTAATGACTATGAAGTTGGTAAACGTCTTAATTTACCTTTCATTACAATATTTAATGATGATGGTGTAATCATTGGTGATTGTACTCAATTTAATGTTAGCATCCCTGAAGAAATTTTTGGTTTTGAACTATTTAATAACAATTTATTTTATTATTAAAAGGGAATGAAAAGATTTGAAGCTCGTAAAGCTGTATTAGAAACATTAAAACAAAAGAATCTTTATATTGAAACAGTTGACAATCCAATGGTTGTACCTATTTGTAGTCGATCTAAAGATGTGGTTGAACCACTAATTAAACCCCAATGGTACATTCGTTGCGACCAAATGGCTAAACAAGCGTCAGAAGTAGTCACAAATGGGGAGCTCAAAATTATTCCATCTCAACACAATAAAACTTGGTTCCATTGGATGGAAAACATTAGGTAATAAAATATTATTTACAAATTAAACATATTATTTCATAATAATTATTATTAATTGCATTATTATTATTTTTAGAGATTGGTGTATATCAAGACAACTTTGGTGGGGTCATCGAATCCCAGCATATTTTGTTACTATTGATAATAATGAACTTCAGCAACCTGTAAGTTAGTGCATTAAATTAAAACATGAATATTATAATTAAAAAATTAAAATTAAAATATTTAGCTTAATGAAGAGGATTGTTGGGTAAGTGCATATACTAAGGAAGAAGCCTTAGACAAAGCTGTAAAAAAATTCAATGTACCAAAAGAGAAAATTACCCTTAAACAAGATGATGATGTTTTAGATACTTGGTTTTCATCTGCTTTGTTTCCATTTTCTATATTTGGATGGCCCGATAAAGTTAGTTATTGTAATTTATTAAATTCTGTTTTGTGTAATATAAATTTATAAATAATTTATTTTTAGACAAACGATTTAAAGGTGTTTTTCCCTGGTACTCTATTAGAAACTGGATATGATATTTTGTTCTTTTGGGTAGCGCGAATGGTTTTCTTTTCTCAGCGTTTAATGGGTTGCTTGCCATTTAAGTAAGTATAATATTGACTACTAGGGATTAATTAAACCAATAACCAGGACTCGGATTTTATAGCATTTGCTAATTATAGAATAAATATAAAAATAGGAGAGTAAGCTTTACATTTATTTTATGCACCAGAGACTCCAAATATTACATTTGTTACATTTGTGGAATATTTAAATTCAGTTATATAGATTAGATTTTTTTAAGGAAATACATTAATAAATTATAGTTTTTAATTTTTAAAATATCTTCTAGTTTCGTTGGCTCTGGAAGAATTTTTCTCTCTTCGATTATGTATGGGCATTCGAGGAGGAGGTGTTTTATGGATATTAAAGATGTGTTGCAGAATTCCACATGTGTTCTTTTTTCATTAGGTGTGCATGGGTGATGTTTGTTAGAAAACCTGGTTCTTTAGGTTAGAAAAGCTTGAACGTTATTGTCAACCATTTTTATCTATTTTTGTTATTATTAATATACCTTGAAGGGTAAAGGGAACTGGCAAATAAGTAAATTGAGATAGCATTTTCCTTGTCTGCTAGTCTTTAAAGTAAATTTGTGACTGAGCATATTGCATTTTATATCAAGTGGAGGTGTATATGCTTTGTATAGGATACTTGATATGGGACTGGATTCACAGGCACTAATGCTCTGTCTGATCCCTAAGATCTTTAGGTCATTTGAGTGAGGAATTGTAATGTTATTCATGTACAGAGGAAGAAGGATGTCTATATATTTTTTGTATGAGAAACTCTAAGATTTTTCCCATTTGCTAATTTCTTCAATTCTTCATTTTCCATGAGGGCTTATGACGTGTTTATATTTCTTTTACTATATATTGCTGTCGTTACCAAACATAATGGTTTTGTAAGGAATTTGTATTATACTGGGTAATTTATTAATAACTATTATAAAAAGTGTGACGCTTATACTTGATCCTATATGTCATTTTGGAATCTATAGTAACAGGAGTAAGGTTCATTTAATTTCACTGAAAATGATAGTTCAGATAAAAATGTAAGATTTAGGCGAGTATATTACCGTTAATTTTTTGTTTCTATAGTATGTCTAGCACACGAGAGTGCCAAATTATATGGTAGCCTTTTTCAATTTCAAGTTAAGTTAATATGAAAAAATATTTGATGTTAAAGGCTGAGTTATGTCTCCTGTTATTATTGTTGAGGCATCTATAGTCGATTTTTTCCTTTGAAAGCCAAATTGTTGGTTACTGATAAAAATAATTTTTTAGTGTCCAATATAACTTTTTTCTAATAATTTGCTCAGGGTACATATTAAGGATATATAGGACGGTAAGAAGTAACTTCATAACAATCTTCGTTTGGTTTAAGTATTGGTATAATAATTGCTTTTTTCCAAGATGAGAGGATGGGAATATTAAATTGTAAATTTTTAATAGTATAGAAGATGGCTTTGTAAAGGAGTTCCTTAATAAATATGTATGCAATTTTATCATGGCCAGTGCTGTGTTTTGAATTGTTTATGGAAAAAGCATCATAGATTTTTTGTAAATTAATTAAAGTGTTTATTATTTGGTTGTTATCGTTTTTGTATATGATTGGGTTGTTGATTGACTAATTGATTTTGATTTTCTGAATTCAGAGTAGAAATTTTCGTCCCTGTTGTTTTTTCCAAAAAGTTAAACAAGAGCTTTAGGTTTTTCTAATGTTAGGTTATATGTTTTGTCTCCTTTTTTAAAAGTGTTTGAGTGGTTTCATTGAATTGAATGCCTTCTATTAGTCAGATTTTTTTCCATGCTTCTTTAATGGGACTTATTGAGGTTTACATAATTTATAAGTTTTTTCCGAGATTTTGTTTTTTGATGGTTAATAATTCTCCTTGATTGTGCTTTGGCTTTTTTCAGGTTAATGTGGTCTGGGGTTATTTTTTTTTCTTTATATCTATTGAGTGCTTTCTTATAATCTGTTTATGGTATTACTACATTCTTTGGACCACCAAGGAACAGGAATTTTTTCAGGGTATATTATTGTTTTCCCAATGGAAATGTTTGTTTATGGGCTGCTTCTATTATGATTGAAGTAAATTTTTTTTACAATTAAATCAATGTTTTCTGGGTTTAGTTTGTTGATGAGTATTTAGTTTTCTGATATAGAATTATCTATTGTGTCAGAGAAAAGCATCCAATTTGGGTTTTTTAAGTTCCATTTATTTATAATAAAATTGTGAGAGTTTCTTTGAAATATTTTAATTAATATTAGCCAATGATCCCTACAGAAATAGTCTTGTTTTGACTTTCCACGAGAGATAAGGGGAAATTTAAGGGTATGCTAAGAGGTAAATTGCTAAAAAGGTCCCATTGGAAGAATTATGACGTGTAGAAACTCCATTATTATATAAGAATTTTATATTGCTTTTTTTTTTGTAAATTTAAAGTATTTCAATTTTTAATGTAATTTTTCATAAATAGTAAAAGAAATCTGTCATATGAAACCATAAGAAAAATTCTTACATTTTTATTTCATATTATAATCTATTTTTAAGTAGCTGGACAAATATCCATAAAACAGTCTACATTTATGACTTCCTACAAGTTTTATTTATTTAGTATTTAAAAAATAAATACATTTTTTTTATTTTAGCTTTTTTTCATATTTTTATGAAAATATAGCTTATTTTAAGTTATTATGGCATATATTTCAGGTATTTTCAGTGCTATGAAATCCGAGCTCTGATAATAATTAATACTATATTTATGTTCAGTAGTTTTTCATCTTTAAGCTTCAGTATTAGTAAAGGTTACTTATAATATAATAAGTAGTTTTAAAGGTATTTTAATTTTTTTTTAAATGAACTATATTTATAATTTAGAACAATATTCTTGCATTCCATTGTACGTGATGCTCATGGCCGTAAAATGAGCAAATCATTGGGTAATGTTGTTGATCCAATAGACGTTATTAAAGGCATATCCTTGGAAGATTTAAACAAACAACTGTATGATAGTAATTTGGACCCAAAAGAAGTAGAAAAAGCTAAAGCTGGGCAGAAACAAGACTATCCTAATGGAATCCCAGAGTGCGGAACGGATGCATTACGTTTTGCTCTATGTTCATACATGTCTCAAGGTAAATTATATAAATATAAATATATACATTGAAATATTTACAAAATTATTACTTGGATTATTTATATGCTATATAGGACATGATATAAATTTGAGTATTCTTCGTGTACAAGGTTATCGTTTCTTTTGTAATAAACTTTGGAATGCTATAAAGTTTGCACTTATGTATTTCAAAAAGGAATTTATACCATCACCATTATCACAAGTAATATTCATGAGATAATTTTGTATATTATATAAATTACTTAATCATTTTAAAATAAATCAAAATTTTCATAGAATGGAAATATGAGTAACATGGACAGCTGGATTTTAAGTCGTTTAACATTAGCCGTAGAGCTGTGTAACACTTCATTTGAAAATTATGAACTCAATGGTGCAACAACGGCATGCTATAATTTTTGGTTGTATGATTTATGTGATATTTATTTGGTAATTGATTTAATTATTAATTTTAATTTATAATGAAGTAGTTTAAGTTTATTTCTATTTCAGGAATCTCTTAAACCAGTTTTTGCATCAAACGAAGATAATTTAATTCAAACTGCTCAAAATGTTTTATTTTACTGTTTGGACACAGGTTTGCGTTTATTATCACCATTTATGCCATTTATTACTGAAGAACTTTACCAAAGATTACCTCATTCTGATATTACTAAATATCCTAGTATATGTGTTGCTTCATATCCCAAAACGGTAAGTTATATGACACTAATCATTTTTGATTTACAACCTTTTATCAAATATTTAACTGTATGGAAATTTTAGATAAACTATTCTTGGCGAGATTTAAAAACGGAAAATGAGTTTGAATTCATTCAGAAAATTATACACAGCATTCGGTCAGCTTTATCAGATTATAATGTTCCCAAGAGTTCTAAAACTGAAACATATATTAAGTGTTCTGATGTAGATACATTAAAAATTGTAACTAAATATCAATTTGAAATTGCTACATTTGCCAACTGCTGTACAGTGAAACTAATAGTTTCATCCTGTACACCAATTGGATGCGCTATTTTACCTGTATCTGATAAATGTCAAGTACATCTAGTACTGAAGGTTAGTCTATTAAATTATTATTCAGTAAGATTTAGTGTTCACATTGAAATTTCTTTTAACTAGGGTTTGATTGATGCGACCAAGGAAGTAGAAAAGTTAAACAAAAAAAGTGATTTATTAACGCAAACTGTAGAGAAACTTCAGAAAGCAATGAGCGTAGCAGACTATGAAACTAAAGTTCCTGAAGATGTGAGAAATACAAATAAGGAAAAACTTAAACAGTCACAAGATGAATTAGATAGACTTGTTGAAGCAATTGGAGTACTTAAATTAATGGAATAATTATAATGTATTTAAATTGGAATGGATGCTAAATTCTACATTAAATTGTGTACATCTATTTATGCTTGTGTCTAATTAAAATATCTGAGTACACTGCTGATTTTAATATATAACAGTATTTTTAGAATAAGTCTTTCCTACATTTATTTAATTTTCTAAGTCTCATGAATATAACTTGAGGACCATCTTATGTAATAACCATTTCTTGCTTTTTCTTTATGCAATTAAGTTAAAATAATTAACTTTATTGCTCTTGTTATGTTGTTAAATTTAAATCCTACATGATTTAGTACTTAAAACTTTAACATCCCCATTAAAACTTTTTGTGTACAGCAATGATATAATAATATTTTATATCTTGAATAATACAATTATGACTGAACATTAATAAGGAATAACATCAGAACTGAATTCGGATTAATACTTTCAGAAATAAAGAAAGTGTTTTAAGGTGATTTTCATTTTTAAGTTTTAAAATGATTAATTCCTCACTCCAATTGTGTGCCTCATTAGGATTAAAATATGATCAAAGGGAGTTTGTATTTCTTTAATTTAATCCAAAACTATAGTAAAGCTATACATCTATACATCTTTATAGATGTATAGAACTTTAATTGTATAACACAATATTTTATATAAAAACAATTTTATATAATTTCTCGTAAATACATTTACTATTAAAATAATTTGTCCAAATAGTTTATTGAATTTTATAAATTTATTATTAATGTATCAGTATTAACAAATCATTGGTAAATTAAGTTTGATGAAGTTTAATAATAATTGTATATTATTTATTGCATACATCTGGGAAATAAGGAATTATGGTTTTTTATTGTTATTCGGTTAAAAATCATTGTAGAGACCTATAGTCTTTACAAAATACTTATATTAGCCTCATGTAAACTTAGTAAAATGTACAAAACATTATAGCTATTTTTAGACTATGTATAATTCTTTAAAATTTTCGTGTTTTTATATGTATTTTGATTTGTTAGGTATCTGTTATTAAAATAGTTTGGTTTAAGAATAATGCTTAAAAATTTAACACAAGGTATATTATAAGTTGTCTAAAAAACAAATTTGTTTTTAATGTATCAGTTTTTTTGTTGTACAAGTTTTAAGATCAAATTTTGATGAAAATCTTAATAAAAATGAATGAATGCATTGCCTGGAGTAATAAGATAAGTGTATTATACAACTGGTTTCAAATTAAAAATTAAATGAAGGAATAAATAGTAAAAAAATGATACAAAGTGCTCGTTTTATGTAGAAATAATTTATTTTAATAGGAGAGGTTATTTAAAATGGGTTATTATTAGACAGATGTGTGAAGAAATATATACTATTTGGTTATTATTTATTATCTAAATTGTTTCGATATTAGATATTATTTTTAAAATCGGTTTGTACATTTAAAGTATTAAAATTATTTTTCTTTATTTCATTGTATATTTATGTTATTCTTTTAAAACTGAATTAATGTAAATGTTATTTTGGGTATATAAAATCCCTAATTCTGTATTAATATCAAAGCTTACATTATGGTTTTTTTCTAAAACATGTTTAGTGAAATTTGAATTAAGGGCAGTCTTTTTAATTTTATTTCAGAAATGTGTTCTTTATATTTTATTTTAAAATTTCTATTTGTCTTACCTATATAAAATGTATTACAATTACCTTTAAGTTTATATATACCAGCATTTTCAAAATAAAGGGGATTTTTTGTGAAGTTTTTAGTTCTATTATATATATTTGATTAAATTATTATTAGACTTAAAAACAATTTTTACATTTTTGTATTATTGTTTAGAATTTTAGCAAATTTGTTAGACATATTATTTGATATTTCATACTATAATAGTTGACATTATTTGGTGAGATGTGTATTTTTTTTTTTTAATACGTTTATGAATTTTTTTAACAGTATTTAAATTGAAATTATTTCTATGGACTATATTAATATTGAACTAGTATTGATAATTATGTTTATTTAATGGAATACATTCAAGCCTATAGAATATTAAATTAAAAAATAATATTTTTAAGAATAAAGGTAATCACCTTTATTCTAGCCCTTTATCAGGGCTAGAATAAAGGTAATCACCTTTATTCTAGCCCTTTATCAGGGCTAGGATTTGTGTGCAATAAAACATTGTAAAATATGCTTTTTGTTTACAAAAATATGCATTTAAATTTTTATAAGATAAACACAAAAATATAGTTACAAAAAAAATATTTATTTATTGAAATACATTAGTGATTGGCTGATTGTCTTAATATAATATTATTGAGAAATAAAATAAAATAAAATAATTTAGAAATAAAATTTATAATTCACATTCAATAGTGGAAATACGTGTGTTACGACAACATATTTTTTTTAAATTTCTAATATAAATGATCGGCGATTGGATCGTAGTATTGATTTATATTGACTGAAGCTCCATTCAACGTCAGATGATGTAGTTAGCGCATATTTAAATAAAGAAATTTGTCCTGGTGTTAAATTACAACTGAAATTGTTCTCGTCCGATTCGCCATTTAATATTTTATTTGTTGATTGTAGAGTTTTAAATCCTTTATTTTTTTGTAAAACCAAAGATATTTTGTTTTTAACTTTATCTGTGACTCTTCCGTTGCACTTAAAAAATCCTAGCATTTTTTATAGTCTATAGACTTTCATGAAGTCTTTCTCTGTCTAACTATTCAATCTTTTATCGCATACCTATTGTACCATAGAATAGTATTTATAAAAATAAAATTTATGTTTGACAAAAAATCAAGTTTTATACTTTAATCAGCAGGTCTAGAATTAAATTATAAACATTAATTACGAAATATACTGTGAAACATGCATTTTTCGCATTATTATAATCGAAATATGCAATAATATTCATTTTATTCAATATATGCAAAATAAAAACACACTTATCTCATCATGAGGTGTTTCGTGGAAATTACTGAAAAAATCAATAATCAGATGTCGCAAAAAAAACATGCTGTTGCATATAAATAATAGCCCTGATGATTACAACCATGTGGTATTATAGCATCAGTTTGTGTAGGCTTCCTTTAAATACTAAAATCAAATTTATTGTTCATTATGGAAACTGTAAGATCTAAGACGTTTAATTTATTTGTTTTTCGAGTGTAAATTGAATGTTTTTATTTATTTTATTTATGTAGTTAACTAAATTTTCTGCTTGTCTATTTAAACTCCAAATAAAATGAATGTGTCATCAATATATCTAAAATATGCTTTGACACATGCTGTATATTTTATTGTTAATAATATTTATTTCATAATTTTACATGTAAATTGCAGATAAAAAAGCACTTAAAGGACCACCTATAACTAACCTATCTTTTTGCAAATACAATTTATTATTTTATTGGAAATAGTTTTGATTAATAATTACATTTATTGATTAAATAATTTTTTGTACTTTGTTTATATTAAATTTATTACTATATAAAAGTTTATTTTTTAAAAAATTTACTATTCCGTGTTTAGGAATGGATGTATATAAATTGTTGATGTTAAGAGAAATAAATAAATAAATTTTATTTTTATGTATACAGTTTTTATTTATATTTATTATTTAATTTTATTTATTTACGAGTATTAACCATTTTAATACTTTTGTTTTTACTTTATTATTTTATTAATTAAAAAATGCTAATAATATATATATTTAAAACAAATTTAATTCCTAATTTAATTTTAGAATTAAGGTGGTCACATATTGATCATAAAAGTGTAGTGGTAAATAAAAAGGATAGGAACCCCTGGTCTAAATGGTATAAATTATAAAATACAATCATTCAGTTCTATATGAATGGAAGGGATGTTTTATTTCAACTGAAAAGGAGACATTACCATTAGGTAATCAATATTCCTCAATTGTTACAATTTTTTTTTTTTACTAAATCAAATTATTTTTATTATGAAACCAAAAACTGTAAATGACAATACACAACACTCAATAATCAAAATGTATTACATAGCTACTAAAATCCACAAAGTTTGCCTATCCTATATTGTGTGAATAATTAGTATATATTAATAATATATTTTTTAAATAATGTATTCATAGGATAACTAATAATATAACTCATTTTTTTCTTAGATTCGAACATGTTATATTTGTCTCTATCAAGTGGTATAGTATAGGCAATTCAAATACCTATAAAGTGCTGTATCTTATAGGCTATCACTTGATTTTTGTAAGACGAGATTTGTCTCGTGATGAGACTGTGAGTGTCGTGTATTGTCATTTATAGTAGTTATACTATTATAGTACTATAGTGTCTATTAGCAATTCAAATTAATAAATAATATAGAACAATAATTATTGTAACATACAAATATATTACCATATACAACATATTAATATATTTTTATATATGACTAAATTGGTGAGCATTAAACAATAGAAATCAGACACAAAATTATGGTCCATTTTTTTTTTTATTTGGTGTTAACAATGATATAAGAATAAGTATATAACAATTATTTTCAAAAAAAAAAAATTATAACAACGAAAATTCTGAATTGTGTACAATAATATATTATTAGTGGTAACCACTGTATTAAAAATAATGATTTCAAAATAAAATATATTATCACAAATATAAAACTCTAATATATACTCTAAACTTGTAGTGTTTCATTCAAATTGAGTCCAATTTGACTTGAAATTAATTGGTTTTGGTGGTAATGGTGGAGCAGGATGTTGATTTGATGACACAGATGGTCCAGGGTCTTCAGATAAACTTAAATTAAAAATTAAACCGTACTCCTGGAGAAGATCATTATTATTTTTGGTTTCTGATTGTGTTTTATTTAAGGGAGAATTAAAAGGAGTACAGAATTGATACAACGGGTTAGTAAGACCTACTCCAGGTGTCAAGCCATTATTGTTAACAGAACTTTTTAAAGGATCAAAATCGTCTATACTTGATGTAGAACCTAATTGAATAAGATCTTTAGTTTCCATTGGACACTCTGTTGGTACTGACTCGGAAGATCGATGTAAAATGTCATCATCATCTGTGATATAGTACCAACTACTTGAATCTTGCGATTCAGGTTCATTACTAACTATTTCAATGTTCTACATGAAAAATGAATTCTTAGTTAAAATGAAACATCAAATAGTAATAATATTTTGTTTAACATACCGATAGAGAACTAGGTGTATTACTTCTTGGTAATTTTCTATATATAACATCTTTTAGGTCGTCCATTATATCCATATCGAGTTGAGGTGGCTGGAAACTAGAAGTATCTATTAGTAAACTAAAAAAAAATATATATACCTATTTAAAACCTTGAAATTTGATATCAGAATACCTAAAATGTTCACTCACTTTTGTGTAGTAGTTAACCTTTGTATACCATGAGAAGTTTCTTTACGGTAACTAGCGGATGCTGTTGTAAAAGCAGTTGTATGTGGCCTTAATGATCTCCTTTGAGTAGAAGGTGAGTTAGGCGCAGAATTAGGCTGTGTACTAATTTTGGTTCGCGGATTTTTATTTTGAACATTAAGTTTTGATTGAATGCCTTTATAAACCAATCGCACATCTCTTCCTCGTTCTTTAACCTACAAATTATATTAATTAAACATTTTTTTTATTTTACTCATTTCGTTAGACTTACTGTTTTTACAGCATTTTTTACTGCAGGATTGGCCTAAAAATCATTTGAATAGAAAAAAAAATTAATAATAATGATTATGTATACTACACTCTAAATTGTATACTAGGAAAATAAATAGGAACTTTAGTTAAAATTATTATACTTAAGATTGTTTTAAATTTATAATAACAAAAAATGTTTTAGAGGTTAATACACAAAAATATTTTAAAAATTAGCCTGTTATGTTATAAAATTGATCGTATATTTAAAACCAATTTCAATTTGAAAAACCATCCGGTAATATTATAAGTTCTTTGTTATCCAACTAGTTTTTTATAATTTCTTTTATTAAAAAAACCAAGTTTATGTTGACGTATTTCACATTGTGTTATAATATTCAGATGATTTCTAAAATTGTACATTTAAAATATTGAAAATATAACTAATAATAATTATCTAACAAAATGTTTATTATATTTGTGTAGTATAAACTATCAAAACAATTTTTTGTTTGTTTATAATTTTTTTTTTTTACAAACAACGACTTCACATACATATGTTTTTATTATATAGTATGTATATAAATGTTACATATAAACAAAATTAAATAATAGTTTTGTACTTAATATTATATGGAAGAGGCAAAAGATATTTTATAGTAAGATATTTTTTTTAAAGAAAAAGCAAATTAAATAATACAAAGTATGTCAATATTTTTTATTGAAATGTTCATTATTATTATTCAAATGATTAATTTACTTTTCAATAAATGTATTTAACATTTTCCCAAGTATCATAAATAATTCTTATAATTAACTACTCACCACATTCTTGACAGATTTAAAGAATGCAGTTCCTTCACGTTTTACAGTGAAAGTCCATTCTCTATACTGCTGCTTTAATTTATTACTGGATTTCTCGTGATAATTGCACACCCCTATTTCAAATTCATCAGAAAAACCTAGTCCATTGTTTAACATCTCCAATCGTTCTTCTATAAACTAGATACAAGAAAATAAATTTTAAAATTATAATTTACCATAGACATTCAAATAATAAAGCACACTACAAAATTATATAGTTTGTAAAACAAATATTGTTACTGTTAAAATTATTTAAAATACACTATTAACAAGAATAAATAAATAATATTAATAAAATAGTTTTTGAAAATGCCTTGGTGAATATCAACAGAAAGCCTAAGATATTTTCAGTAAATATACCTGTTGAAAAATCTGTAACTCCAACATTTTTTTTAAAAATGGTTGCATGTTAGCAGATCTAGACTTTATAAACGCATCTTTATTAAATGATATACGTTCTCCTTGATGAAATTTCAATGCATCTCTGTAGCCACCAATTAACTGAACCAAAGCATGTAAAAATGCTCTTGAAACACCATCACCCAAGAGTGTACCTTCAGTACGTAGTTGTTGTTTTAAATTTGACACCTAATTTTAAATAAAAAGTTGAATATACAATTTTATTTGACCTGTAATAAATAATTTCATTTTTATAAAAGTATTAACTCAAAATCTAATATTTATGACTACATCTATCAATTGTCAATAGTTTAAGAAATACAATTTAAATAAATAAAGTACTTAAGCCAAGAGAACCTATCAATCAATAATAAAGGATATCAAAGGATATCAAGTGTTTTGAGTTATTAAGGATTTCAAGTCTCCAAGATTATTTTTAACCGAGATGCAAAAAAAATAATTAGAAACTGAAACCATTATTACATTCAACTATTAAGAAAACTAGAAAACTAAGGGCCTCAATGTGATTTTTTGTGCTAGAGGACCGAGTATCAAAAATTTCAATATAATGTTTATAAATATCAACTATAAATGAATAATAATAATTGAATACTTGTTGAACAAAAACCGATAGTGCTATGTCATACTGCTGCAGTTACAGAGGCATGTGTAACAAAAATTACTTGTGTATGATTATAAATTTTTCAAAAAACTTAATACTTCAGAAAAATTATTTTTCCACTAACTTTTTCAATATATAAAAACACACCACATATTTACAATAAAAATTATAACATTTATTTTAAAGGTTGGTAAATTATTTTGTGAAGCAAGCAACATTTACATGTATAAGTTTTCTGTGGCAATTTCTGTGATCCTTGCCCAATGATGTTACACATTTTTTTTCAATTCTTATAACTCATTGAATAAAATGAGTAGTAACGTCAAACCTATACTATTATTCTTAGAATTAAACGTTCTTTTAAAAATTTTTAAAAAATCTTATTTTTGTATTAGGCTTCTTTAAAATAATTTAATTAAATAAATAAAAGAATAATATAAAAGTTAAATATTTTTTTTGTATAACAATTATATAAAAAACTAAAAATCTAAATATGATTCCAATAAGTTTACATTCTACAATATTATAATTTCAATTAATACATATATTTATTGTTAATGAATTACATTTTATGCAAGGATGTTACTTACAACATTAGTAGGAAGATTTTTTAAATCATCAAATGGTGTTTCAATAGTATTGTTATCTGCATCTAATATAACAACTTCTCCTAAGTCATTGCGTTGCAAATTCTAAACAAAAAAATGTAATTTATAATTAATTACAAAAAAAAATATTTATATATATATACTGAATAATTACTTGGAATAAGGTGTGAGGTAAACCAATCAGATAAGGCATTGGTGCTAATAAATAATCAATAAGTGATTGAGGCAAGACTGGGATAAATATATGCTGCCAATTCATTGGATATAGAATTGCATTGGCAGCTTGAACACAGGCACTTAATCTGTCTAATTTTTTTGAAGTAAAAATAATACGACGTTCAAATAACATGGATGCAAAAATAATAATCATATTTTGACTATCAACTGCACTATAGTATTCAGTCAAATTTCTCTAAAACAATTCAAAATCCAAAAGATAATAATAAGCATGTATGTATATATACCATAATGCTTTATTTTATTTTTGCATTGAATTAAAAAATAAAAATCAGGTAAAATAAATCAGTTGAAATATAATACAACTACAATTTTAATTTTAAAAAATCTAATTACTCACATTTTCAGGAATACTTGGTAACTTGAATTGAATTGGAGACTGACAAACAAATAACTATAATTTAAATTAAAATAATAGCCTATGTTTGATTTTAAAATTCTACCAAATATTGTAACAAAAAATATTTTCTGAATAAATTAAATACCTCATCTCCATTATCGTTATTTATTTTTAAATCACATCCCTTGAATGGTAGCTTACTATTGTATACAGAATCTAAAAATGACCAAAGATCTTTAGATTTATTACTATTGGTGAGATTCGAAATGCGATTTAATAAACTGAAATAGAAATAGCATTTATTAAATGATTAAAAATAATAATAATTTTAATGAATATTATAAATGTTTTTACTTATAAAAAGATTCATGCCAAGGAAGATAACTGAGAACAACTAAAGCAGTTTCTGATTTAGAATCGTGTCTACAAAAACCGAAAGTCCATTTTGATTCAATATTAGTTAATACAAATGAATAATACTGTGTCATGGTTCTGAAAGAAAACAAATTAATAAAAAATTAATACAACTATTTAATGAATAACAAAACAAATACTTACCTGTCAAAATCACAAGGATATGCAAAATTAGATACAGTACTAAGCACTTCATCTTGTTTATAATGTTCTGGAAACTTTTGTAAAATCCAAGGTGTGGTATTTTCTTTACTGGGGCCAGCTACTTCACAAAAACACTCAAATAAATGAGTGACATCATTCCTGACATAATATATTTTAAGTTAATATTAACTCTAACAGTGTAAAACATAGTTTACATGATGTTATGGTCTTTTATATACTTTTTTATATATTACATTAATAAAACATTGTTTGATTTTAAATCTTTACCAGAGAACTTTAAATAGTTTTTACTGCAATATCAATAGCACAATCATCAATGGAATTAATTAGTAATTGCTCACCTTATTCGTGACCCCATTACATCAAAGCTGTTAGTAATTAACCAACATAAATATACAAATTTATTATATTGGGATTAGTAAACAATTTCACTTTTTGGAAGTCATTGGGCATTAATCTTTAATAACTAATAGTCCAGAAACTACACGAGTACATTAGTTTTATTTTGCTTCTTAACATTATTAAATTAACTGGGAACGATAAACGGAACAGTCCACTGTCCAAGAACAGGGGAAACTCAAAAGTTTCATTTCAAACCAGACTACCAGAGATAAGGATAACACACCTATCTAATCTATTCCCCGCCCCTTATAAAGCACTCATATCACAATAATTATTATAACCAGATTTATTTTATAAACAATCTGGTTAATAATTATAATTGACATAGATAATAATATAATATGTAATATACCACGGATAAAATCCATAGATACATTAATTATTTGTCGTATGGTATACTTAATGATATTATTTTCGGTTCTTTCGGGCCAATGGTATCACGAAAAAATAATAAATATAAAACTGAAAGATAAGTTAAAGGTTTGTAAATTGTAACTTACAAGTGACATTTGTATTTCGCGGACACTTAAAGTAATTAATATTAATAGGCTGTATATGTTTGGAAAACGGACCGAAGATTGATGAAGATAAATTATGAGCAAAGAAATGGAAGGAACAAGACCACGAGGAAGAGCACGTCGACGATGGGTGAACAGTATACGAGAGACTATAATGGAACTAACATACTAACCAGAAGTGGACTGGAATATAGCATATAATGAAAAGAATGGATAGGTTTCGTCCTAGTAGCTAAAAGCCTAAATTACTTATAAGGCTAATAATAATAAAAAGAAGTTATTAAAAACGTACTAAAGAGACCAACTAACTTTACTACAGTGATTAAAAAAGGTAGTGCCTAAATATTATCATCGGCCCCCTAGCCAAACACTCTATAAATACAACTTAATATATCTATTTAATATCAATATACAAATCATATTTTCTTACATTGTTTAGTATAATAATAATAATAATAATAATAGCAATAATAGCTACTAAGAACCTAATAATTAAAATATAATATAATTTTCACTTTTAAGGACCTATCTTATTAATTATTATAAATATTTTATATTAAAACAGATACTAGTCAATTCAAATAAAGTACAACAAAAAGATACGTACAATGAGTGGGCCACTATTATATATGAGAAGTTGAGAAAATAGGATAAAGAGGGAAATTAAATATATATCTATACGCAACAATTAATCTTTGCTGACGATAAACGATTCTGAGCATAGTTTGGTTATACATATTTTGATTGGTCGTAGTAATCATTTAAGATTTTCGTCAAAATTTGATGCTAAAATTCTTATAAAAAAATTCTACATTAACTCAATTGATTTTTGGTTTCACTACAAAGTACGACTTATTATGAACCTCCTGTTAAATTTTCAAGCCTTTCTGTTTGGTCTAACAATACTATTTACAGAATGAGTACCTACCAAAAACTGACAATAATTATTGATTCATTAATTTTATTTACCTACCTTGGTTACCTTAGCTATACAGTGAGATAAACACTGCGATTAATACTACTCCGATCAGAATAGGTTTTTGATTGCAATGAATTGCGAGAGCGCCTTAAAAAAACCTTAATTTAAAAAAGGAACCAAAAAGTTTGCGAAACACTAACTATACTGTAGATATAAACCTTCAACTACAGAGTGCACATAATGAATTATTTAATTTTTTTCAAAATCGCTTTGAAAATATTATCTAAAATTGACTTTGGTAATTTAAGTACATTTATGACAAATATATGGACAATAATATTGAGGTATAGGGCTTTTCGGTCCATGAAAAATCACGGGGAGCACGCCTAAGATTACGTACATGGTAACTTCAATACTAATCCGTGAGTCTTCTTTTTTATATTCCTCTTCTATCGAAAGTTGGAAATGAACATTGCAATATGGTTTCTGTCCTTGGCTACACTGAATAGTTCCTTTTATTGTAATGGAACTAATCTCTTAGATTTTGCAACCAGCTATCATGTTGACATGATACAAAATATATTCCTAATTAGTAGGGCCAGAACCTGAAAGTTTATTCACCGAAATATGCATAAATTTACTCGCTTAAAAAATACTGAAATGTACGCAAAAATATGCCCCAACATTTTTTAACTTCTAAATTTATATTATAAAAAATAAATGTTTACAATAAAATTGTTGTCTGTTTAAAATGTATAAAAAACATATTATCCAGCCCATTTTAAAATTCCGAGACCTACTGTCCAGTTATCACATTTTACCTCGTGTGTATCAGCTATATCCTATATGACTATAAACTTTTCCAATTTGAGGATTACATTTCTCCAAGTCCGTGTACATTGATCTGTAATATTTCAATAAAGATTCTTCGCTGTATATCTCCATACGCCCTTAATGTTTCATTATATATGCATATTAAATATTCACTCAAACAAATTTTGTACTCACCTTCATTAGATTTAATAATTTCCATATTTTTTACCAAAAAAAAATTACGATAATATATTACGTTGAAATCGAGATCAAGACGTTACTGATGCTCGTAAGCGAAACTAGGCAATTTCATTAGAACAGGCTAATTGATAAATATGAAAAATAAATTCTAAATACAACTTTATACAGTAATTTATCTTTTTTTAATGTAATGCAATTATTTTTACAAGTTAACGTTAAATGTTTAATATTAGATAAAAAATGATATTATATTATAAAATTAAATAACGATAAATAAGTTTATAATAATAGACGACGATTAAACGTTACCAATTTTTTAAATTCTTCAATGACGTCCACAACATAGACGTTATTAGTCATTGACTGTTCCACATATGATAGCATAAGGTCATCTAAACGGTTGTTTCATGGTGAATCTAAATTTAGTTTCCACAAGGTTTAACGAGTTTAAAAAATGCTCAAGAAACACTGGTTAATGGAATCGCACAAAAATCTCTGATAATTTTTGTAAAACTATTATATATATCTTCAATTTCATTTGTCCGGAACCAATTTAGCCATATGATACAATCTTGTTTAACGAGTTGTATAACACAATCTGTGTTTTAAAATAACAGTAAATGTATTACAGTTTTTAATTCAGCTTCGGGAATATCGAAATATGTCGATGACAATTTAATATCATCTTTATTTAAGTTAAGCTTTAACATTTTCCCGACTGCTGTGATTAAAGGTATTGTATCTTAATCAAAACGTTGAGTAATACCACGCATAAAAGAATCTAATACAGAGATTAACACGGTAATATGAATTTCTTCTTTTTTTGTACTAAAAATATGCTCATTATTTATGTTGTCATTAAAACGTTTTGTTTTTTTTTTCTTTACCTTATTGATGGTTCATCAATATCATATTCTTTATACTTTTTTAAAACTGTTGTATATGCTTCATCGTAGAAATCATTATTATGATTCCTAACTTCATTTATTGCAATCAATAAATTAATTGAATGATTCTGAAGTATTTTACTTACTTTAAGAATCAGTTGTAGAATGGTATGCATTAATTCTAGACTAATTATAAAATTAAAGTCCTTACATTGTAAAATAATCCATTTTCCTTTAACTTCAGGTGATTTGGTTGTTTTATTAACTTCAATTATTGTTTTATTAGAGCTAAAAAGTTTTCGGGATTTGCAGATATTGCCTCTGCTCTACATGCCCATCTGATTGTGGACAGAGATTTTAATAATATTAATTTTGAATTAATCGTGTTTTGTTTTTCAACAAAATGTTTTTTGTCAAAAATGTTTTTCAAAATCGCATGCCGTATTGGACTTCCCTTAATAAAATTGTAAACCATTTGAATAACGCCAAAGAAGTCGAATATGATCGAATTTTCCGTTCGTGAAATACAAGAGTCCCCTAATACAATGCACATATATAGTATTTTTGGATTTCGTTCTTAGCACCTTGACTATTATTTTTTCCAAAATAACTTCTTCCACCGCACCGCTTGCTATAGTCGCCGTTTCAACAGTTTAGTGAGTAGTGAATAGCGATAAGACGATGAAACAATAATAGCCGCATATATAATAGGTACAAATGCAGATTGGTAATACCCACGCATTACGTATTTATATTTATTTAAACAGAACAAAACATCGTAGGCGTTTTAGATGCAGAAATTAAGTTTTTAAATTCTACTAACTACCAAGTCAGTATGATGTTATGATATTCATCCAGTATTAGGTTAGGCCATGACCCGACTGGTCTAACCCGTAGTTTCGCCCATGCTGACGCTTAATGTTCTACACAAAATATTAGTACTCTTCATAGTAACATTAGCAGTATAGTGAATAACTATAATCGTATCCAAAATTATAAAGTAAACCTTTATTATACATTTATAACCCAAGGGATTTTCACGTAGGTATCTATAGTTCTCTATGACTTATAATCATTCGTGGTCGCGTCGCTCGTCGAAACTATGTAGCTGGGCATAAAAGACTACAGGCGAAACCGGAAATTTGTATTGACGAAATTTGGTTTATCTCAACCCGCAAATATTATTGTATAATAAAATCAACATAGGTACATCTTATTATCGCCGCGACTAAATCAAAATCCTAAGTGCAAAAATCAATATAAATGTAAAGTTTGTTTCATAGTCCGTAAACAATTGCGTAAAAAATCGTGTTTTCGGATTTCTGTATATATTTAAGAATAATTGATACTACCTATTACTATTTAAAAAATAATGTATTTAGCCCTCCCTCAAATAAAATATACTGAGGCACGCTTTTGAAATATAATATAGCCGTACGACGGAAATTATTTGATCGGAGGTCAACAGCCTGTAATTAGTCACTAATATTAGTGATTTTTAAGTAAAATACATTTTACGTTTTTTACCTTGTCGATTTTTACCGTATTGTTTTTTTTCGATTACCTTTGACCCTTGTCAGTGGTTTATAAATCAGTTAAAATTTTAACCATGCAGATATACTTTACAACCGACCTAACACTTGGTTAATATTTCATAGGCTTCAATGGCTATCTATATGTTTGTAATAATTGATACCACTCAGCATAGGCGCAACTAGGGGGGGCTAGGGGGGTCTTTAACACCCCAAAGTTTAAAATTAGCACCCCTAAAAAACTCACTAAGCATTTTTATAGTAATGATTAATGACTAAATATTTTATCCATGTATTCCATAAAATGAGCTGAACAAAATACAGATTTCCCACAGATAATCCATTTGTATATGAAAAATAATGTCGAAATAGTTATGATAAATTTCTATGTGTAAGATCGTAAATAAAATATGTAGGTAGTTGCTTATTGTTGTTTAAAAAAGAGGGCATAGCACCCCCACAGTCGATAGTTTAGTTGCGCCTATGCCACCTAATAAATAAATGAATGTAGATCACGATTTAAGACCTTAAGATGTAAATGAATACAACAATAACCATAAGGAATATCAAATTTCACAAAATTATACTATTAACGAATAAAATAAAAATGATTGGCCAATGACCACAGCAGAGATACTGTGGTGACTCAATCTTAATGGTAAATAACATTATATATAATTATATAATATGCATAATTCCATATAAATAATCATAATTGAAACCAAAACTGAAATTATTTTATGTCTATGGCTGAAACTAAATACCTAGTGAATATTGAATACAGTCAAACATCAAACAGATACCTACAATATTTGTTTAATTGATAAGAATTTTATTATTAATGGTAAGTATTTCAAATTGTGTAAAAATTAGTCTGTCGAAAGTTCTTTTGTTTTTTAAATTTTTAATACCACTTTTATAATACATTAAGCATGGAAAACGTACGGCATGAGCACCATATGATCATGTAAACAGGACACGGTATAGACGTATGGAGTAGTTGTTATCTAGAACCGTATTATTCAACTCAGTTTTAGATAGCTGTGGTATATTTGATAATCAAAAAATAATATGATTATCTATTACCTATACATCTGTACTATAAGTGTCTCGTCTTCAAACAACATTTTAGTCAACATTTCAAGAGCATTTGAACTTTCAATCGGTTTCTTTACATATGATTACTTGTTTCAGTAAATCTATACCGTTTTAATTTGCACAATTGGACAGAATTTTGTTGTTTTAATGATCTAAATTTACTTTGCTTACGTTCAACTTGCAGAGTAATATTATAATATTGAATTACAATAATTGTACCTTATTAGCTATCACCTTGTAAGTAATCTAGTATTCAATAACGTCTAATTAAATTATATTAATATCCATTACCTATTAAAAAATATGTAAATGTGACACTTATGTATCTACTGTTAATATGATGATAATGCATGCATCTGATGAATAAAATATAATTTTAATAATATTGTTTAGAGTTACAATCATATTATATACATAAGCCAAAGAAAAAGGTTCTTACTTAACTAATAAACTTATAGCAGATTTATTAAAAAGTTCTAGTTACACTTGGACCACATACATTGGTCATATAACGAATTTCAATTATTATTACTAATTAGATATCTAAATTATATGATAAATATGAGTATATATCAGGCTATCATAAAATATTAAAGATGTAAGATCCATTTTAAAACCTAAATTTCTAGTAGGTATGTATCTTCATATACATTGTATTATATAAATATCTATTCTTTAACTATCCTTATACAAAAGTAGATACATTTAATTAATTAAAATTGGTCAATATATAAACAAACATAATTAAATGGATACAAATGAACAGTAATTATGTACTTTTATAGTAATACCATAACAAATGTATTTAATTTATGAATAAATTGATTCACTTGTTTTATTCATTAATTGTTAATATTTACAGCAAAATGTTTGAATCAGACTCCTCTGATTCAACTGATAGCGATAATAACAACGTGTTTCCTTTTTATAACCCATATTTGAGAATGCATCGAGCAAATTTACATTTAGAAGTTTTGAGTTCTTCAGATAGTGAAAGTGATTCAAGTATTGAAGAACATCCCCTTCAGTTTTTTAGTTCTACATCTAGCAGTGAAGTAAGATTTTAACTTCAATAATATATTTTGTTTTTATTAATTTTATTTTACTAATTTAGAATGACGCACAATTATGCAACTCCTCTGAAGATTTAGATCATCTATCTGATGTCTCACAAAGTGAATCATTAGTTCAATCAACATATACAGGGAATATTAAAAACAATAGGGTTGCTCCTAAGACAAGTTCTGAAAATTTTCTTCATAGACTCTATAAAAGGTTAAAAATAAATGTTTCATTCAATTCAATAATAATTAATATATTTGTAATGTTTTTAGAGAAATTGGTGATTATAACAACTGTGCTAAGTGGAGTAATAAATTCTATCAATCAGTGGTTACTGTACAAAAACTTAAATTAAGTAAACAATTAAAAGAACACCATGGATGTGTGAATTCACTTGACTTTAATTATTCTGGCAATATAATAGTTAGTGGATCTGATGATTGTAAAATATGCCTATGGAATTGGGCTCAAGGAAAATGTATTATCAAATATAATAGTGAACATTCTGCAAATATTTTTCAGGTAGATTAACTTTTACCTATATAATGGTCAATATTACTCTCACTATTTTGACCCAGTGAAATACAGATAATCAAACAGTAGTTTAATCATTACAATAGTTATAATGACATTAATTGTATGTAAATATGTGTAATTAAAAATATAAATATGTAAAAAAAAAAATAAAAACATTATTTTGTCTTCGAAAACTCTAAATACAATATTTATATAAAATTCCATAATGGAGAAAATTGTATACCGATAATGTTTTATTTAATTCATTATTATTTCTCTAGACTAAATTTCTTATTACTCAAGGAGACAACCATATTATATCAAGTGCTCGAGATGGTAGGGTCGCATTATATACTTTGAATAACACAGATGTTATTTATCATAATACAATAGCACGTCATGAAGGCTCTTGTAACAAACTTGGTGTACACAGTGAATTGCCATATGTGGTTTTAAGTTGTGGAGAAGATGGAATTGTTAAAAATATTGATATTCGAGAATCGGATTTTCAAAAAGTGAAAGTTACAAAGTAAGAAAAAAATATTTAATAATTTCTGTTTCCATTTTCAATAGGTATCTATTTACAATGGTTTATATTTTATATTTAACAGTTAATTAGATCTTGAGTTTTTAACAATTATAGAATAATTCTTAAAGTTTTTTCAGGCAACAACTATTGATTTTATAATTATTATGTTATTGTTAATATATGGGGGGTTCCCCATATATATTAAAAAATATGGGGGGGAACCCCCATATTAATATACTACATCAATTGTATTTTATGTTTTTGTCAGAGATCACTTCAACTTTTCCTTAACAAGTAAATCTTACAAACTGCATAGTGTATTTGAAGGTGTCATTAATATAACCAGACTGCTTTATTTTTTTTGAATTGTTCAGGACGAACAAAACAAAATTAGTTTATTCAAAATAATACATTTTTAATATATTTTCAAACCAAAATGTAGATTTTTCTTCAATGAATAATATGCCATGGTAATTAATCCAATTTTTGATGAAAATGGAGCTGCCTGGTTATTACGTTGACACTGTACGTGTTGACACACGCCATATGAATTGACTATTTAAGAATTATTATTTATTTGATCAGCCCATTTTCTCAATAAACTCCCTAAACAAACGCCTCCGCTTCCTTCATCCACTGATAATTTCTAACCAAATTAATTTAGCAATCAAACTACTTATCTACTAATCTCTTGGTTATGTAGGATAAAAATCTCTATGAAAATACCATATTTAATGATTATCACAGAGAATACTGTGACTGGAATTAATCAAGTTTTATTAATTATTTCAGTTGTTTCAGATTAAATTTTTACAAAATAACTGGAAAATAAAAATATATGAGCTGAAATAATTCATAGGCAAATATCAAAAAAAAAATTAAAATTAAATTTAGAGACAATATTTATTGAACTATAAATATTGTGATTGTAGTTGCAGATTTTAAATGGGTAAACATTAAATGTAGACCTCTGTTGATAATCTTGCATTATATCTTTGTCATACTATTTGAGTTTAGAATTATATAATTTAAAAACACATTTGTGTAAGTCTGAAAGATTTATTATTTATTATTTATAGTTCTAGAATCTTGTATACAAAATAGTCATGCAGACTTTTTGCGTTTACACTCTTAACACATTATTTAAAACATAATCGTTATCACCCTGTTATTCAATTTATTTATTAAAATTGAAAAAATCTGAGAGTTATAATTTGGAAGTTGGAACTGCCAAGTATAGTTGTGCCCATAGTACTATTAATTTACAACTTGTCTTTGTAACTGGTATTTAATTATTGTTTACATTATAAATATCCAGTGTTAAATCAATACATTTCTCGCTATGCTCAGAATCTATTGTTTGTATCTTCTCATAGTTATAATTTTTCTGTTTACTAGTGTACTTAATCTGAGAAACGCTCCCGGTAACATTATGGCTATTTATGGTATTGATATTAATCCTATAAAGCCATGGGAATTTATTATTTACGGTGATGATGAATATGTAAGAATGTATGACAAAAGACACATACCTTCAGGACCAGCTAAAATATTCCGCCGTCCTTCTGTTAGTATAAATATATTATAAATAAATGTAATTATTTACTCACCATTTTTATCATTTCTAGACCATAGACGATAATGGTTATGCTTCAAGAACAATATCACATATTACATCTGCTGTGTACAGTTATTGTGGAACTGAAATTTTAGCTTCGTATAGTGAAGATGATATTTATTTATTTGATGCTAATGGTTCACCAGAAACTTGTTTACATCATTACACAGGGCATCTTAATAGAATGACTGGTGTGCTATTTTAGTTAATACTTACTTAACTAAGGCTAATTTATTTATTTTTAGTTAAAGGTGTTAACTTTTTTGGACCTAGAAGTGACTATGTGGTATCTGGTTCAGATTGTGGTTATATATTTATGTGGGATAAAAATACTGAAGTTATTGTCCAGAGAAAACACGCAGATATAAAAGGAGTTGTAAGTTTACACATTCTAGCTACATAAATTATATTTATGTTGATAACTAATAATTTATTTTTTTAGGTAAATGTATTAGAGGCACATCCACATTTACCAACTTTAGCCACTAGTGGATTAGATCACACTATCAAAATATGGGAACCCTTAAATACGTGGCATCAACTAAATAGAAAAAAATTAAAATCGGTAAATTAAATATTTATTTGTGTTTGAATAGCTATCTACAGATACAAGTTATTTCTATCTCTATAAATATTGTATATATGTATTTTATACAAATCTACAGTTTTATTCCGATCTTGATAACATTTGGACACTAACTACTTTTTGTCCTGAAATTCAATACTTAAATAGCCCATACTAGATTTTACTTTCTGAACGCAACGAGGAATGTATTGCTTTTACTATAATATTTATTTTATTTTTGTGTCTGTGTATATCTTTCTATCAAAAATCTTGCTTAAATAGAAAAATGACGACAAAATTTTTTTTTACCACATTTTTGGCCTAGTTGGCGCATTCGTAAAGATTTTTTTTTAATTTTCCAAGAAGTTTTTAAGATAATTTAAAATAAAAACTTATAGGAAAAATGGATACATTTTTGGAAAAAAATGTTTTATTATTTTGTTAATTTTGTAATTTGGTAAAAATAATTTTAGAGACCTGAAATTGAATGAGTAGATTCCTCTATTAATTTAAATCAGGCAATAATATATAATTGAGATAGGAGTAGAATAGAAATAAGTAAAGATCCTAAATTGAACTTGTTTTTATTGATTTCAGTTTTTGAAAGTATTTTTTAAAAAATTCAGCTTTTAAATGATAAAAAAGAGCAATCAAATTAGCATAGTGCTAGGTTATCAGCTAAATTATCTAGTGTCATCCATATAGTTATGAATCAAAAATGTACATTTGTATTTCATTAACTGTAAGTTTTATGTAACAGATTTTAAGATAATAATTGTTTGATAAAGTAAATAGATAAGCATAAGAAATTTGTTAGTGAGTGAAGTCTGTTGATTCAGCTAGTTTATATTATAAAAAATGTATATATATATATATATCATGTAGGAATATCAGGAAATTAAAATTCTCAATACAGTAAAATTGTCCAGTATATTTAATTATTTCCTAACATTAGCAGGAAATAGTAACTGTAATTGTATTAGGACATTGGATTGGTATATGGTTTGAAAAACATTTTTGTATGCATGTCATTTTAGATACAATCCAATTTTAGTAGACTTAATCATTTAACTAAATCAAGTGATCATTTATGAGTTATCACAGACAATTTAAATTTCATATCCATACTTAGATAATAACCCCTTTTTACTCTAGTTTGCATTTTACCTTATGTCTCAAAATTGTTGAAGATAAATAGTGGACCATCTGTATTTATATATATATATTAATAAAAGGAAGTGTTTATTTATTCTTGTGCATTCTGTAACCAGGAGCAGACTGGGACTAAAAATGTCACCGAGATATAGATCTAGAGTGACCACATAAGTATATTGTTTGTATATAAAAAGATAATTATACTATCAATTGTTGAACTTCTTAAAATTTAGAAGTGATGTAAACTAAATGGACTATAAGTTTTGAAGAAAAGTTGAATCATTTTTCCAAAATAGAAATAGCTTTGTCAATTGTAAATTTAAAATACCTTTTCCTAGTAAGAACTATTTTGAATTGAATAAACTTGTCTAATAATGACCTTGCTGTAAATCACATCGACAAATTAAATTCCAAAGAGGAAGACATTTCTTCTACAGTATCAGATTTCCCCACTTGTCGAATAATTCAATTTATTCATGTCACATCTCCTGTAAACCCCAAGAGCTGTCACTGTAACGTCCACAGGCCACATGGCCAAATTAGGCACTGGCCCACCGGGAAATTTCTCTGCATCCTGGCAGCCCAGTCAGCTAGGTCTGTGTGCACCTTGAGCCAGATTTCAAAAATTCAACTCTTAAAGGCTAGAAAGTTTAAATTTGGAAAATAGTTTATTGGAAACGTATTTTGATGGAATCATATTTTGTCTATATATAATATTTTGATAATGATAAATGATAAAAATTATGTTATCATTAAAAAATTATTGTAACAGTTCCGATAAATACATTTCTAACAAAATATGCTTCCTACAAAAAAAATTGTCCACATTAATATGGTTCTGAGCATTTTTCAATGTTTTACACACACGCACGACTCCACGTTTTATTTTTGTTATTTACCTACACTACAGTGTAGAAGCCAAATGTAAAATTATTGTTTTTAATTTTCTTCTTGATATTTTGTATGCAATTATATTATACGTTATTTATTAAATTTATAGAATTATTATGTTATACATAGATATAAACTTTTATTTTATTTTTATACAACACTCAATATTTTGAAAGATATTAATGTTTAAAAATAAATATATTGTTTGACAATTTAAGTACAAGCTTCTCTAAAATGTTATATTAAAATCATATTTATTTGTTTTTACCTTTATTTGTGAAGGTGAAATGACTACCATATATATTATCTATATTTTATTAAAATTGTAATTTTAGAAGTAGTATGATTATTTAACTAATTTAATTTAAAATAATATTTAATTTGTTTATTATTTATAGAGTCTGCTGAAAAATCAAAAGGAAAGAGATCGAAGAGCTCCTAGTGCTTATCATCAGGACTTGTTTTTATTTTAAGAATAAATTGACTTTTAGTGTGCTTTGGGTCAAATTGTTTATAGTAATCAAAAGCACTACACAATTAACTATTATAAAATATAGAATTTTTTTATAGAAAAAAATAGTGTATGCTATTTTGTAAATTTAACACATAATATAATGGTGTATATTTTCCACCAAAATTATTTTATTAAATTTAGTTTTAAATATATATACTTAAGTATATTCTATATACTATATGTTTATATATTAGTTACTTATATTGTTTTATTATTTGGGAAATATTTATGATCTCGATAGAGAATATATCTCTATAACAGTTTTAACATTCTACACCCAGATAAACTTTTAATTTATTATCTAATACTTTGAAATATTCTATTGTTTATATACATGTATATTGTAAACAATTTTTTTAAAAAATAATTTATAAAATAATAAAGAATAAAACTGTTATAAATGCATATTTTTATTTTGAACATATTTACTAAACTCATTATTTTAATACTTCAATACATTCCAATTAATGTTGAAAGTCTGGTATAATAATTTAACATAACTAAACCCAGAACAATTGTGTATAGCCCTTTAATGGCAATTATTGACCAGGGATCAATTAAAAGCCAAGTAGAAAAAGAGTCTATAAGCACTGTACGATATACAGACAGTAACAGAAGAATAATGACAGCAGCAAATGGTGAAAATTTTGATTGTAATTTTGACAAGTCATGCCTGGACAGCAGCCAAACTAATGCAGCAGTCATAATATGATGCATCTAAATATAATAAAAATAAATAACAATGAATATTATCAATTGTTGATTTTGTAGAAAAATAAAAGATTTCTCCTGATAATTTTTTGTTCAACTAAACTTCAAAATAACATCATTTAATGTTGAATTTAATAGTGTACTATTAATTTATGTACTAAATTATATTATAAAATCTACAACTACAAAATAAAATTTTAAATAGTTATTCAAAATAAAATGAATGGTTTTTTTTTTGTTTTATAGGACAACTTCTTGCCCCAGTTAATTAAGATGTCACACCTATATGGCATATATATTATACAGGAAATATTGCAAAATAACATCACATTGAACTTAAATTATAATATTGAGATTAAAGTTGAAAAAAATTCAAGTTTTAACACCCATAAGCAAATTTAAAGGGAAAAAATTTGTTTTCTCTGGGTATTTTAACAAAACATTATCAATCAGGCAAATTATAGCATTTTAGATATTTGTAATTGTAATATTTTAGTATGGATATTTTTAAATTCTACATGTTATTTGGATAAATTGTCTACTGAATAAATTTAAACTATATGACATATACTGTAAGGGGATATTTATTCCAAGTATAAAATTATATTAGATAGTTAAACTTAACCATACATATTAATAAGTGTAAACAAATTACCAAATTTATGTTAGATTCTAGACATTTTTGGATGTACTTCCAATCAAATTCAGTGCCTCTTGCCCCTACCCATAAGAGTAGAAATCTTGTTAATAATATTTCAGCACCCGCCCAGCCAATACCAGCAGTCATTACCTTGGAATGCCCCTTACCAGGGATGCTTTGTAATATCATGTAAATACCAACAATGTCTGCTAAGTCAACAGAACTTTTAAAAAAATTCTAAAAAAAATTAATCAATTATAAAACCTCTATAATTTTAAATGATTAGTGAATTGTATATTGATATTACTGAAAAACTTAAAGTGTTTATAGATGCTTCGTTAGCTGGGAAAAATGTTGCCAGTATTAACATTTTACACAATTGGGTAAATGCATAGATAATACCACCTTGTATACACTTCCAAAATGCTCCATATTCAGATCTAAAAACAGAATCATATGAAAAGACTACAACTAATTGCTCAACACAATATACTTACAAATTTGCATATTTATAAGTTAAATAGTATGGTATATATAATAAAATTACACAATTACCAAAATGATACAGAGTCATTATTGGCAAAGGATTCACAAGCAAATTGACATAAATCTAAATAAATTTGTTAATAATAAATAATAATATATTTTGTACAGTTCAAAAATTAACCAAATTTAGTTAGTGTAGTGTAGGTATTCAGACTTGAAAAACATGAAAATTTTTTTTAGTACAGAAACTTAACTAATCACTACTATCACAAAGCTATTACTTATCATTTATTATCACTATTTATAGATAACTAGCCGTCCCGCCCGGCTTAGCCTGTGCAATTAATGCTTATCTTTGTGTTACTTAGGTTGGGTTTCTATAGACAAATAAAAAAAATTATAATCGTAGTTTTCCTTCCCATTTCAACCCAAGCTTAGGACTCGTAACAAATTCCTCTTGCCGGCATGATTAAAAACTTTTTAGCTGTTTAGCTTTTTATTTAGCTGCCAGCGTTGGTTTAATCGTCTTTGCGACTTAACCTGTTAATTCCCTGTTTTAATATTACTGAAGTTAACTGTTATTGCCTTTAAGACCTTACATTTTTGAAAATACCGTTATTTTAATATTCATTTAAAACTTGTATGGTTTAGTTATATAGTTTCTTATAAGCAATGAAAAATATCTACTTATAAATTATTATTTTGTATCTGGCCCAATCTACTGCGGTTTAGGTTTACTACTTCAACTGGTCAGATCGAGGATTTCAATAGTTTAAAACCTTCTCCAGACAACGAGGATCAATTTTGCGAAAAACCGCGTAAAAATTGATCTTGTAGTTTCAGAAAACATACGTGATGAAGATTTCCATTTCACATTTATATTTGTTTCGTTAAAAGTACGTAAAATGTAAACCTAGGATACACAAAATAGTTAGGTCAAACCCCAAATGATTTTTGTAATTCGGACTTTTACAAACGAGATTTGGAAAATCTAAGGATAAACAACCAGCGTTGGTAAAAGTTTGAAATTGTTTACCAATTGTGTAATTTTTTTTTTCTTTGCTTTATATTCATATTTTACTCGTATATTAGGTACAAACATTTTATATTATTATAAATTATTATATATTGTGACAAAAAATGTATATATTATTTATTTGTACAAGCTTGGCTACTTGCTTTTCTTTTTATAGTACTTCTTATTTGATCCATTGCTATAGTCTTTGAAGTATAAACATCGTGATTGTGAGATATATTATTGAATTTAATAATATTAGACATATGTCTTATTCAGCGAGGAAGTATACTGTATTATATTTTAAAACGTTTTATTTACAAATTTAATTGATAATCGGAGCAAAACTTCTTGTTGAAAAGTTATTTACAGGCAGACCCCCCCCCCCCACGGGTTACGTTGAGTTCGATAATTGCAAGGGGTGCTAATTGATTTTTCAATCTGATTATATTTTTTATTTGTCTAATTCGAGTATTGGCTGTTATCGGTTCTATTTGATCTATTATAATCTACAAATGAATTTAAATTGAAAAAAGTATCTACGACCACTCCAATAATAAAATATATCATTATAGGTAGGTAATAAATAAATATACCTATATTTATTTGAATTTGTGTATTGGTAGTTTTTTTAATCATTATTTCAATCGTGACATACTTTATTATTATACAAAATTCAAACTAATAACAAAAACAACTATAGGCTAATATATAGCTGTGCACATATATTATACATATTATGATATATACGCATTATACATAATATTAGGCACCTATTATAGTTGTGCATTATAGGTGTTTCTCATGTTACTAAAATGTCTTATTAAAATAAGTATCTATCGAATAATGATGGGATTAGATGAGAACTGTGTTTATTTAAAAGAAACTAAATACTTGAATTATTTGCTTCGATCGATTTGTATTTTAACGAGAATACCACGTAAGTAAATCCATTTTAAATTATTAGCATGAGTTTTTTTTTATTCACTGACAACAGTGGGAGATCTGTTTTAATATCATTTATTAATTTTCTATGATTAATTGTTATCTTAAATCCCGTTTTCCCTTTTGCGGGGCAGGTTCACATATATTGTTAAATATCTTAAGAAACTTTAGTGACTTAACGACTATATACGACCGAAATCTCCTTAGCCCGGTTACGAACTCGCTTGCTTGGAATCCCAGTCCGCCCATGCTTCTAGCCACACCGTTTGCGGAATCCGTCAATCTGGCGTCACGCATTTCTTCTCAGAGATGGGTACCCAACGACCGGCCGGCCATGCCATGTGAATCAGTCGTCTAGGATTCAATTGATCTTTCCTGATACTTTCATTTTGTTCCTTGTGGCTCAGAATGTTCTCAATCATGGTGTAGATACTGTAGAAATTCTGAGCGCCACGAGAAGCCGCAGTCATGAGCCAGTCCTACGTGGATTGATCTATACTCTGGGTGGGATGTCAGGTACATGGCCGATTTCCGTCATAAGTGTACCTTTTCCTTTTTCACCTATTCACTTTTCCGCCAAATCATAAATTGGTCAATTCCCTTTCCCATCAAAATCATACCTTTCTCCTTTTCGCCAAATGAAAAAAGTTGGTCTAATGTGCGAATATTTATAAACGATTCTAAATTATTAATTAGACAAATAAATAAATAAAAATCTAGAAAGTATTTTTCTATTTATGTATGATAAAAATTTAGTTTATGAGGAAAAACGATCGTAAATTATATCCAAGATAAAAATAGTTGTTAATACTCATAACAATTACAAAAATTCTTACTACATTTCATATTACAATTTCTTGTACACAAAATATCAAAAATATACATAATAAATAAATAAATTTACCTAAAAAATAATTTTTTTTATTATTGTATAAGTACAAACTTAATATTATCATTATTTTTCCGTCGTAAGATAGATATTAATAATTGTATAAACAAATATCGTTAACCTAACTTATACAACAACTAATAAGTTACATGAATGTACTTACCGCTTGTAAAATTATAAAATATTACCTATACGAATGCATAATATGACATTGTTATGACATATTATATATATGACAATATGACATAAATTCGTTAATTAAATTAAATATAACCGCCCCTATAATAGATACGACCATAACTGTCAATTTGTATGAAAAGTTACAAAAAACGTAAATATTTGTTTCCTTTTAGATTCGCAGCGTACCGTCGTAGCGAGGGATCTATTGGTTTGTTTGTACCGTATATATATGCCATTTGTTAAACTAATTAAAAATACAGGTAAAATAATTCAATATTATTCAAATTCTGGACTAATTTTTTCGCCAAATCATACAATTGGTAAACTCCTTATTCTGCAAAAATCATACTTTTCCATTTTCCACTAAATGAAGATTATTTTAATATTTGAATAATATTGAAATATTTCATTTAAATTTTAAATTAATTTAACAAATGACATTATATATTATAATAATACAAAGGAAACTAATTTCAAAATTGTCATTGGTTTTTTTTAAATTTCCATAAAAATGTAGTTATAGTTGTACCTATAATTTATTACAGGGGCAGTTAAATTTAATTAAATAAACACATTTTATATTATTTGTAGGTTATATTTTATAATTTACAAGCGGTACATTCTCATAACTTACTATAGTTATACGATATTTGTTTTACGTAGTTGTAGATATTTTACGACGAAAAAACAAGAATAAATATAAGTTAGAGCTTATGCAATAATTAAAAAAAAAAATGATTATATTTTTACATCGCTCCTGCCATCAATGAGACCTACCTACTACTACCACGTATATTTATAACTTATCGTTTAGGTATAATATTTTGGTTCCTATCTACACTAACCACAGTGGCGGTTTTACGGGGAGGAGGTCTAGATCCTTGGATCCCTTTTCCAGAATCAGAGTATAGATTACGAAAAATATATTTCGTGTTATAATTTTTAAACTTAGTTGTTGATTAAAACATAGGTACATTCATGTAGTTAAGTAAAAATATAATATGTAATTTAACTAAAATGAACTAATAAATATTGGGTAAATATTTTTTGTATATTAAATATAGTTTATCTAACTTATATAAAATATACCTATAGCTATATCTGCAACATCTACGTAAGTAGGTATAAACGTAAAAATATAAAATGATTAGATCTAAAGATTTCAATACGTGAACAATGAGCATGAAAAATATACCAACTTGTGTTATTTATGAAAAAGTATTGGCATATTACAATGTATAAAAATAATTTATATTTCAGGTGACGAAAACCCATCCACATCTACAAATACTTCGAGCCGACAATTCTTATTATTGGAATGGATGTACACGATAACGTTTTATGCGTTTTTGTGCTTTATTTTTTTCGATTTGATTTACACTCAACGTACACTTAAAACTTACATCAACAACCCAACCATGGATAGTTTTAACAATATGCTGATATTATTGTTATCTGCGTGTATTGTTTTACTGAGCCTCTTCATGGCGATCAAAGCGAACGGAAACAGAGAAAAATATATTCAACTCTGGCGAGAATATCAAGTATAAATTACGACAGGTTTAAATTTGATGCCACATATTTACTATTGTATTTTCCGACTGTGTTCAGGCAATCAAACCCCTATTTAGAAAACGGTTAGGATGAAAAATTATCATAAGTGGTGAAACTTTAAGGGGAGACAGATGTTAACAAATTTGAATTTTGAACAAAATGTTGTAAAAGACGAGTTGAAAAGATAGAAAAGATAGGAAAAGGTTCCCTTCATTGGCTTGAAAATACAAACAAATATTAGTAAACATATATCGTCTGTCTTTCAACCTTTCTCTTCCTTCCCATGGAAGATGAAATTAACCAATTTTTATCAATCCCACTACCACTAACACCACATCCCAAATATTTCTCTCTAAATTAAATAAAAACACTTATTAACAAATTCCCTTTAGGCAAGCTTGCTTCCTTTCTAAACTTTGTGAAAAATAAATTCTTAAACGTAACTACCCAATAATCGAAAATAACAATTCAAAACCATTCAAAACCCGCAGTTCGGTTTTCGCGTGAACCACCAAATTCACCGACTCGCAGAAACCATCTCATACTCACTCGAAAAAAGATGTACACTTCAACTATTTTTTTGGATATACCACAGGCCTTTGTTCAGGTCTTGCATCCGGAATTATTATACAAATTAAAAAGAACTTCTACATTCTTCTTACCTAACTTTTTCTCAAATCATACCTAAATGAACGATATTTCGCTGTCAGATCCGGTTCTGAATTCTCCTCCATTTCACTAATACTTGTGGGCACACCACAAGGAACTGTCTCCCCCACATTTTATAATTTATATTCTGCTGACCAAACAACCCACACCAATACCGTAGTTGCCGAATACGTAGACGGCAAAGTAATTTATGAATCTCACTCCGATCCAATAGTAGCTTCGTCATTCGTGCAAATTCATCTAGATCTACTGTCTCCTAGGTACTCTCGCTGACTGATAAAAATTAACAGATCAAAATCTGCAGTATTTACACTAAGACAAGGCCAATCTCCTCCAATCTTCTTGAACAATAGACAAATACTCTCTGCAGATATAGTCAAACACCTAGGATTATTATTCGGTAAAAAACTAAACTGGTCTAAACACTTACAAAAAGTAAAAACTACACTCAACCATAGATTCTCTCTACTAAAAAATATCCTTAATAAATCATCCAAACTCAATTTAAAAACAAAAATCTCGGTATACAATCTCCTCCTAAACTTATCTAGATTTATAGAATTCAGCTCTGGTCCTCTGCTAAAAAATCAAACACAAATAAAATTAAAATATTCCAATCGTAAGTACTCCGACTCAATACTAATTACCCCCGTACATATCAAACTACACACTACTATTTTACCTAAATATCCCTTCTATAAAAGACACATCCAAACTACACTATAACAAATTTCACCACTTCCTCCCCCTTATATCAAGCCTCTACACCCATTCATTTCCCGAAAATCCTCCGCGTAAGCTGAAACGACAATGGCCCAGGGACTTCCTTCAATTGTAACTATAATAATTTATAATTTATAATATATTTAAATAAAACACGCTGAAACGCTATCAATAGATAACGTCTTCAACTCACGTCCTCAGCACCTCTTATGTACACCCCATCCATATTCTTATTGTAACTATATTTAACAGATTGTTGGTTTATCAGAAAAAAAAAAAAAAAAAGCAGTAATCTAATATCGAAATGCATATATTTCAGCTAAATTACGAGGAAAGGTTAATGTATTGATTAGAAATTTACTTTTTTTAATGTAGTTGAATAAAGAAGACGATTTTATAATTTAGCCATGATTCTTATTTGCTACATCCTCTCCTATTGATAATTCCATGCCACTGGCTGTAATCGTCCGATCAACTTGAAATTCACAAAAGTATCATCTGCATAACATACCGATTAACCCATCCAAATTTCAAAGCAATCAGCCCATTAGTTTAGGCCACAGATAGCTCAGGTTAAATAGAAGTTTGTCATCTTGTGTAATATACTGCGGTTGACGCATGAGTTCAGTATCTTTTACTTAGCTCTGCGCCGAGACCACGGCTCTGGATGATAATTAAGGCATTTTACTTACGACTATTTCACTACACGTTTCGAATTGTTTTTTAATTTTATAAATTTAATGCAGCCTTTAGTGTAATTTATACTACTTAATTGTGATATATTGCACCATAAATTGTCCTTCTCCCGCAGATCCAGTATGATCAATACACCATGTCAAAACTAACTTTGGATTCGTCCAATTTTATCGTCACGCTCGCCATCAGTGGAACGATACTTACGACGCTTGAGTTGGGCGCAAATTGCGTATTGACTTCACAGAGTACACCAATTTACGTATCCGCTTATTGGCTCATTTATTTTTACACAAACTTCACAACCGTATTATGGGTCGTGGACTGTCACCTTTTGACCAAGGCTTCCGAGAAGTTGCTTGATAAATTTTTAGTAAGTAGGTACCTGTATGAAATACTAAATAAAGATATAATTAAATGTGCATAGTAATTAGGGCTCGGATTTCAATGCATTTGCATCTTTTTTTGAAATGACTTACACGATGCTTTCCAAGCTATAAATGTATTTGAAGTACTCCATGTTGTAACTATAAAAACTGTTTGAGCATTTTTGACATTATTATCGTATTGAAATATAATCATAGTAGGTACTATGTAAATATAAATCGTTTTTATCCTTAACAATATAACATAAGAAAATATAGTTTTAAATTAGGCAATGCAACTTTTATCGGAATATTTTCTTATCGAACGATAGCTGATATTATATCGGTGGTGCGTGTGGCCGATTGTTGGATGCTTTTACTCCGTTTAGTTTACTTGAATGAGCATTTTGTTGATATTTTTAGGGCATTTAAATCAAAGCCCTAGTAATAATACGTAGCCATATAGGTTTTTAAATTAAACTTTTCTTATGGATTATTTTACCTGCATTTCTATAGGCTTATAGTTCCATAGCTTGTACACGAAGAATATATATTTCGTTAGGAAGTTTTCATACCTACTATGTAAATTTTTTAATTTGATCAAGTTTCCAAGTTCATCCAGACGGATTAAATTATTTATCTATCAAATAATATAAAACACAATTCGATCTTATAATATAAATTCATTTTAACGAATTTTTAAATACTCCTACCTATACCAACTTTGGATTTTTTTTTTCGATTACCATTTCACACACAGTCATCTGTGTTGGACAAAGCCAACTTCTCCTCCCGGTCTTTGAAAATAAAATTATTCCAATACACCGAACTCTGGCGAAAACTTTCCGAAATGACTGGCAGATTGATGGACACCAGTTGCGGACGATACGAATTACATTTTGTCATACATTCGGTGATTGTCATACAGGCCTTTTATGGAATTGTTGCTATGTACATGGATCAGCAGCAATCGATCAAACACAATAACAGCATATACTTTTCAACCGCTGTATGGTCCATTGTTAATTTGGTGGTTCTGTGTGAGGCAGCTTATTCAGTCACAGCTCAAGTAGGTACTTATACATACTATACAGTGAGGTACTCAATGGGGCTAGACAGACCTATTGGTCATGTTAAAGTACATATAAAATAATAGGTATTTACTATTCAGCAGTGAAAACTTATGTCTAATAAAACAATAATTATTGTATTTACTTACTATTGTACTACTTATAGCATATGCATACCTAATAGCCTTATAGTGCAGTGTCCCATGAATATATAATATAACCATTTTAATATCTCCGGAGATAATAAAGATAATCAAATTGCATTATTTTTTTTTATATATATTACCCATAGAGATATGTTCATTTTTTAAGTTTTGGTAAAAAAAAATAATAAAATAACTTATTTTTTATTATATAGTATTTTATTCAGTTCACCTAACTGATTGCACATTAAAAAAAAAAAAAAATGATTTCAAATAAATTGACTACCTACATAATTATGTGTTTTGAAAAATAATATTTTTATAATAAATGTGGATATATTTGTCTTGAATTATTACATTAATTTAATTTAATATGTTTAGTTTCGCCCCCCCCCCCCATATTGAAAACTCCTTGGTACGTCACTGAATCTGTTTACAAATAATAGCAGTGTGTCTGTATTTGACTAAGTACAATATTACGTATATACATAGTTTATTGCACTATGATTTTTATTATACATAATTCTATTTTACTATCTATTTATTTAATTGATTATTATCTTTATTTTATTTTATTTATATTCATTTATATTTTATTCTATTTTATAAGCAATGCACAAATGTATTTAATGGTAAACTGTGTCAAAAGGCAACTCACAAATTGAGCAGTCCGTTAAATTTATATTTATATTAATAAAGTTGTTTATATATATGTAATATTGTAATCGAATTGTAAATTTCGAAAATGACCCATTCTGAAATTTTTTCAGAATTACCTTTTTTACTTTTAAGTTTCTAAACATAAGTTAGAATACCTCATATTCCAGTTATGTTTTTTCATCTGTATAGTTAAAGTTTTTGATTTGATTGATAAGGTACATTATTCGTTAACATTATTATTATTAGTTTAACTATAAATTTATACAAAGCATTATTCAAAAATAGGTACCAAAATATAATAATATAATACTTAAGAAATTTTAAAAATGTCATGTAAACTATTTACAAATTAAAATATTTAAGTTCCAATACTCCATTCCGTATAAGAACTCACTGTTCGGCGCATCAAAATGTATAGTGGGGTAACATCCTGCCCTCTTGACTGAGTTTATTTGCTCTACAATTGGTCGCCATTAATTGGCTGCGCTTGTTTTAAATGATTATCGCCTGCCACCCGGTGCGTTCTTATTTAGAACGGAGTATACATATAAGTAAACTGTACCACTATATGACGTTTCCAAATTTTTTCAAAATTATTAATGGAATTACACAGTTTATTGTTTTAAATACATTTAGAAATCAGGAACACGTATTAAGTAGTAACCTCGCAAAGTAGGTTTTCAATGGGGCTTTTTAAACTGGTTTTTTTTTTTCATTTAATATAATATATAATACTATTTCATGAGCTAGAAGAATCTACATCTGCTTTCAATACATACTCCATGAATTAATTTTTAAAAAGAACTGAAGTCAACCTACAGAAGTTAAAAGAATAACAAAAGAAATTTTAATTTTAAAAAATAAGTCCTTTTCAAAATTTGCAATTCAAAGATTGAATGTAATTTTTTAATTATATGAAATATCATAGGTGGGATTCAAAACCAAAGTACCAATACAGTTAATACCTAGCAGTAACTTCAATTTAGAAACTCAAGAACAGGTATCTACTTTTTGACAGTGATTTAATGATTACCTACTTTATATTTACTATATTTACATATTATAAATAGATTTTCACGGTTTTAAAAACCATACAGTCTGATATGCCAGAAATCACTGTAGGTGGTTACTTTATCATGGACCGCACTTACATAATAAGTGTAAGTAAATAATGCAATATAATTTTAAAAAAACTCAACAAATATATATATTTTTTTGTAGTATCTCGGAGCAGCCATATCATACATAATTGTTTTGGTGCAATTTAAAATCGGAACATCTTAGTTATTTACATTCTGAAAATTCCATACTTTGTTTGCTTGACTGGCGAATTATGAACTGCTGACAGACTCAAAGCCAAAACTTGTCTAGTCTGAACTGGATCAATAATGCCATCATCCCAACATCTATTGATTTTTGTCAACATAATTAAAATATTTAAAATTAAAGAATTTTGCTTACCTTGCACTAGAATAAAATGGATTTCCTTCCTTTTCAAACTGTTTTATAATTGGTTCTTTTAACATTTGTTCTTCTTCTTCAGTCAACTAAAAATAATAATAACATATTTGAAAATTGTCTAGTAGTGTTAAATAACAATAAAGTTTGGTTTAATTTCACCTCTTTTCCTTCTCTTATTTTCTTTGCGCTTTGAATCTGAGCAAGGACTCCTGCTGCTTGTTCACCTCCCATAATACTTATTCTAGAATTTGGCCACATATACATAAATCTTGGTCTATTTAATCATGATATCACAACAAAAAATAATTAAATAATTATGTTGCAACCTAATAATAATATATTTTTCCTAATGATATTAAAAACCATTGAAATACAAATAGAATAAGATTTTATTACCTACCCATACGCCCGTCCACACATTCCATAATTTCCTGCTCCATAAGAACCACCAATCACAACAGTAATTTTAGGAACAGATGCACAAGACACTGCTGTTACCATTTTAGCACCGTTTTTGGCAATGCCACCAGCTTCGGCATCTTTCCCAACCATAAATCCTAGTATAAAATTAAAACTTATGGCTTGATTTCAAAACATGAACTTTATGTTTAGTAAATTATAATCAAACTCAATAGAAACATACCAGTTATATTTTGCAAAAATAATAGAGGTATATTTCGTTGACAGCATAATTCTATAAAATGTGTTCCCTGTACAGAAATTGAAAAAATGTATCAAAATATCAAACTTAAACATTTAAAAATGTTTATACCTTTAATGCAGACTCAGAAAATAGCACACCATTGTTACCAATTATACCAATAGGATAGCCACATATTTTTGCAAATCCTGTTACCAATGTTTCTCCATAATTTTTCTTAAATTCAGAAAACACCGACTCATCTACTATTCTTGCTATAACCTAAACAAATTAAATGATCAGTTTATAAGCCAATATTTCAAACAAAACTATTAACTAATGCCAATGTTGGGAAAATTGTATTCTAATTAATGATTAAAGAATACAATTATAATTTGTCGTTGTTAATTATAATACAAATTAATGTAATTGAAAATCATTAATTACAATAAAAAATTATTAATTTCAATATATACAGGGTGATTTTTTTTATCAAGAACAAGCAACTTTCTCGGAAGATTTTAAGTAAATTTTGATATTAGTGTTATGCATATCAACATTTCTAGAAAAATAATCTCTATTCAAATTTGTGTACAAAAAAATGGTTCCTATTTGAAAATCAAAAATATATACTTATTTAAGGGATATGTAACAGCAAAAAATTAAAAATGGTTTTAAAATAAAGCTTAACCGATTCTATAATGATTAAAAAAACAAAAGTAAAATTCACTTAAAATTCTCTGAGAAAATTGCTAGTTTATGATAAAAAAATCATCCTCTATAGTCTATATAAAATGTATCATTAATTTCCCACAATATAATATAAATAATACCATAATAATACCTAAACACATGGTATTACATTGTAATACTTAACTTATACTACATCATTATACTTTTTTTGTACTACGGTTATATTATGTAAGAATTTGTGAAATTTAAGATGGATATTAAGTGTAGGCATTAAACATATCATGATAATAGTTAGTACTGTACTCTATGTATGTAGTTATCCTTACATGATAAATTTGGCGAAAATAATTAACAATTACAAACATTAAATTATGATTACTAATTATTTTGAAAAATTAGTAAACAATTAATAACTAATGTAATTTAATAAATTAATTGTAATCGATTATATAAGTTATCTGCAAATTAATCAATTATACCCAACACTGACAAATTAATAGTGCATAAAAACACCTCTCTGACATCATAGCTTTTTTTTAAATTATCTCCAACGATTCCGTATAATTCATTACTGGGATATAATGGTGGCTTTGGCTCATCAATTTTAATTTGTATACCTTGTTTATTACCGTTATTATTTAGATTTGCAATAATAACTTTAGTAATATGTAATGCATGGTGATCGTCATTAGCAAAATGATCAGCAACTCCAGAAATTCTATTAGACAAATAATTTAATTTAAATAATCAATTTGATAATATTTGCTTATTATTTATCGTTTACCAAAGAAAGATAAAATAAAAATACACAAACTAAGCATATAACCATTAATTCTTTCAATACTTTGTATATGTATGTAATATTATATGTATACATTCAATATACTTACGAACAATGAAGATTAGCACCACCAAGATCCTCTGCAGATACCACTTCACCTGTTGCGGCTTTTACTAATGGGGGACCGGCAAGAAAAATTGTTCCAGTTTTTTTAACAATTATACTTTCATCAGCCATAGCAGGCAAATAAGCAGCACCCGCTGTACAACTTCCCATAACTACAGCTATCTGACATATTTATGTAATGTGTGATTTAATGTTATCAAATATAAGTACATTTTAAACTGTTTTACCTACTGAGGGTATTAATTTAAATTTCTTACTTGTGTTATATTTTTCGAAGACATAATAGCCTCATTAAAAAAAATTCTTCCAAAATGTTCTTTATCAGGAAAAATTTCTGCCTGCTTCTTTAAGTTACCACCGCCAGAATCGACCAGATAAACACAAGGTAAATTATTTTCACTTGCTATTTCCTGAGCTCTTAAATGTTTTTTTATTGTAATAGGAAAGTAGGAACCACCTTTCACAGTAGCATCATTGGCAATAATCATACATTCCTTTCTATCAGCAAAATATTATAAATATTTATTTAAATTAATTAATGATTATAAATGTATACCCAGAAATACGTCCAATTCCTGTAACTATTCCACCACATGGAACGTTTTCTTTGTAGAGATTGTTTCCAGCTAATTGAGACAATTCTAAAAATGGTGATCCCGAATCCAAAAGATAATCTATACGATCACGTACTAACAGCTTCCCTTTAGATGTATGTCTTAGTTTATCTTTTAGATCACCACCAAAAACTGAATTGCTCACAGCTTTTTTTAAATTGTATACTAACATTTCCATTGCTGTTTGATTTTCCTGAAACAATAATCCATATGAAAAAAGTCTGAATACCTAATATCTAATCCGAGTACCATAGTAGGAAGGTTTATCATCCCGTTTAATATTATACTATATTTCTATATCATCCAAGAATTTTCATATTAAACCATAAATAGATTAATGAATAATTACTGTTTACGTTTTAATTATTGCGGATTCGCCATTAACTATAAACAATATTAATATAATATATTAACCTGATATTCTTTTGATGTAACATCAATATTGGATTTCAATACTGATCCATTTGAAATATCAGAGAAATGGCATCGGCAACTATGGAAAATTACATACCTCCTCAATATTTTTGTACTGTTTAACATTTTTATAAGAATGTTTTTACAAAATAATTTTTATAAAATCTGTAACAGTTTTTAAATAATATTATAAAACATATATTTTATTATAAGTATTAATATATACCTGCTAAAAATATGTAAAACCATTTCCCAGCAACACATTTAACGACTACCAACAACACTGACATATATCAGTAAAAACTTTTTATTGAACAAAGTGCACATTACTAGATAAGATAAAAAATCAAATGGTTCATTATAGATTATTAGGTATAATATACAGTAATAAGGTAAATTATTTTAAATGGTACATTAATCATTAACCTAAATATTGAATACCTAGTATATAGGAAACTATTGTATAATATTGTCTATTTGAGAATATATGTATCTTGTATAATATCATAAAATAAAATTGTAAACAATTTAAATAAGTATTAATTGAAGAATAAATTAAGAAATTTGTTTAGTTTTTGCATAGTGTAGGTATCAGCCCATAATTAATATTACATTATTTTTTCGTATTATAATATGATACTTATTACAATTTTGTTAAAAAGTACTTTTAAATTTATATTTAAATACTTTTTTAATTTGAATTTCAACCTAAAGTAGGTAATTAAAAAAATAATGTTTTTAATTTTTACCCCAACTAATACCTATTAAAATAATAATGACTTAACTATTACTAGATATAAAATAAACTTATACACTACCAAAGTACATAAATATGAATATAACTTGAAGTATTGAACTTGCATGAAATTCAAGTTCGTTTTCTGTAAGTTCTGTTGAGAATTAATGTGAACCAGTAGGTATTCCGTATTAATCTAATCAGTAATTTACTTTTCTATGATGTAAACAAAAATACACAATGTATCATTTCTTTTTTAATTTATGTTCATTTTTTATCATATTATTTTGTTTATAAACATAAATAATTATAAAAATAAAATCATAATAATTTGTTAATAAAATATTTTAACTTTCCCGCCTAATACCATTGATTAGATGTTGATTGTTAATACCTACGAAAAGGTAAACGCTGATCCACAGCCTGCTACCCAGAATCGATTTAATCGCGTTTATTTTTTTTTTTGGCGCGTTATCTTATAATCGATAAAATAAATTAATAATCCCTAGACTTAATTGATTTTCCTATCTATTAAATTCCTATTTCAGATTTTATTTTAATTAATTACATACCTACATTTTACCTTTTACATTATAATTTATTCAACAGATCAAATTAGTCAACAAATACTTGATGTAAGTACACTTAATTCATATTAGAATTATACATTTTAAATATCATAACTTTGTCAATAATTCGTGATAAACTGATAGATTGTAATGTACCATGAAACAAACGTTTTTCGTGGAAACTTTTTGTTTTAAATTTTTTGTAGTACAAGTCATTCAAGCCCTTTGCTGCAATCACCACATCTCTTCATGCTGTTCTGTCATTAACTAATTCATTGCCGTTTATTACTTCTTATATTTGCAGGTCACTACTCCTCTGTCTTGGCCTTCCTTGAAGTATCTGTCTATTGGGGATTTATTATTTTGCCTCTTGAATTATCTGACCTTATTCTCAAAACTATAATACATTTAATTTTTAATATAGTTATATTTATATAGGTATGGTGACCCATGGCTAAATATTTAGACATGTGGTGAGCTTTATTTTATTCGAGTATAGGTATTTTTTCTGAAAATATTGTTTTCGAGAATAAATTTGTCAATAAATTATTTATTAGTAACACTATTTTGTTAGAAAATTAATTTTACTAAATACAAATAGAACCTAATATTTTAGAGCATGTATTTGCATTTGCACAAACTATATAGATTGACGCTATTGGCAATTAATATTATTTAATATAATTAATAATAATTATTAGTTCAGTGGTGAACAGATGATATGAGATAACAGTGTTATCATCTTTATAGGTATTTTCTACCGAAATACCGTTCCGTCTACATATATTTTCGTAACGAATGTGTTATACTTTTTTGTACAAATTTGTTTGGATATTTTTCTTACAAAATACGGTTTGACTGCTATGTTCAATACTCACTGGGCTCAGTATACACAATAAAGAAGGCTAGTTGTTTTTTTAGAGCTACAATTAGTTGCTATAAGAATGAAGTAGGGTGTATTAATCCCAGTTATAGTTTTTACATGAGAAACAAACGACATTTGTTGTGACATTATTAAATTATCTATCAACGTATAAGTTTAGTTGTAATTAGTAAACAATATAGAAAATTTAAATCTATAGTAATTGGAATATGTAACGTGTTATAAGTTATGATTACGAATCCCCGGTCTAAGATTAGTAAGATTATGGTCTTACGATTATTTACTTTAACAGCAGCAGTCTGATGGCAATTACGGTTTTTGTTACAACCAGAGCAAACGTTGGCTTAGTTCTACTTTTTACAAATTGCAACGCCATTTTGCTAAACGGACGCACTGAATTTGTTTGTTATCAGGTGTTTACCGCTCGTTATTTGTTCCATAAAATCTGTTCCCAACTTCATTTACTGATAACAGATGTCGCATATCAGTTATCTAACCGATATTATTAATTTTTTTTTTATTCAAAAAAAAAATTAAAACAATGTCAATTTTGATTCTAAAATTATTTAACCTTTCAGTTTTTGTTTTATCTGATTGAATTTTCAATTGATTAACAGAATTGAATAATTATAAATTAAATTAAAAATAATTATGGTTGCACTTGGTGCTTTTCCTGCAGCCAAACTTGGCGCTTTACTATTGCGTCAAGTAAGTAAGCCAATAGCAAATTTTGTTAAAGAACGTGCAAAACAATCTCCTGTGTTTCGATCTTATGTATGCATGCCTCCTGCTCAATTGTACAATTGGTGTGAAGTTAAAATGAAAATGTATTTCATGAATCTTGGTACTGCTGGTAAAGTCAAACCTTTAAGTGAAACCATGGCAATTGAACTTGGATCAAATCTTCTTGGTGAAGGTATTATATTTGTGGTCGCTGCTGCTTTATTATTACTAGAATATAATAGACAATTACGAAAAGAGCAACTTAAAGAAGAAACACGCTTGCAAGAACAAGAGGATTTAAATAACACTATTAGGGACTTGAGTTTAATGACTGAACAACATAGCGCTGAATTAAGACGCTTAACATACCTTGTTGATGACTTGATATCAAAAGTAAATAGTAAATCATACTCTGAGCCAAGCAGTCCTTCAGAAACACTAAAAGATAGCATTAACAAATTGGGCAATAAAAATCAAGAATTTGATTCAATGTCATCAATTTCTAATGAAGTTAATGATAGCATAATAATTAAAAGTTTAAAAAGGCTTATTCAAACTGCGCAACATTGTTAACCGTTTTTGTAATTTAAAATGTATTATTGTAGAATTAAGTTGTTCATATTTTGTTAATCCGTATGAAATAAAGTCAACCGTGTGAAGAATATTAACTCATAATAAAGTTGTTTCTATTAATTAGTATATATTATATTTGTATTCCTTTTGATTAAATATATTTTATTTTTGAAAGTAAACATCAACAAAGTTGTAGTCCAAATTGTATGCGACAGTAAATTTCACCATACACAACTATCTACATTTTTTTATCAAATAATATTTTAAATATATGATTTTTTTTTTATCCATCTAATGAGAGAAATTTGATAGGTAATATTAAAATTTAAATAGAGTAACCAGATTAAAAATTTCATAAATAGACGTAGATTTAATTTAAATACATTTTGGTACTTTTCATTTCCACCACAATGCTGTAAAATATGATTTTCGCTTTTAGTTTGGCAATTTTACAGAGGTTTAATGAAGCATTTGTGTGATTTGTCACACTATAAATTTGTTTGAATTCATGAAAAAGAAAAATTAATAACTAATAATACTGGGGTTAGGTTTCATAAATTATGATCACTATAGATATGTAAAATTAAATATAAAAGATAATATAAATTTAATTATTAATCATTAATAAAAAAAAAATTGAACAATTTATTTTTAAAAATTAATAGTATGCAGTTAATATAAAGAGCCAAATGTATTATTAAAATATATAATTCATTACAATTAGATAATAGTTTTAGCAACAAGTTATCTAAGGGTAACCAAACTTATTAAATTTAAGAGAATATCAAAAAATACCAAATTTTGTGAAAATTGCATTAGGTTTATTATACAATATACATTGATTATGAGAAACTAAACTTCTCACAAAACACTATTTTATTAATTTGTAGCACTAATCACTAAAAATATTTTGAAATTGTGACAGTGATTAACACAAATTAAAATTAAAATAGTTTGCTGTCATTAAAAACATTATACCTAGTTTACATTCAGCCCACTTCCATGACAGTGAGCATCAAAATGGGCAGCGCGAGTATGTAAACACGTCATTCGCGCTGATCATGCTCCTTGCACTGACGTTGCCCGACACTCCCGTCAAGAGCGGTAAACTGAGCAGCGTGAGCAGCAACAAAACCGGCAATGCGATCAATCCGGTCAATTGCTACTCGCGCTGCTATAATTAGCAGGGCAATGTAAACACTTACTGCCGTCAACGCTGTCACAGAAGTATTTTGAGGAGTAAATACGGCAGGGCGAGTAGCAATGGCAGCAGCTAAATGTAAACTAGGTATTATCAATATAAACAAATTTAATTTAATCATAAATATAATTAATTGATATGATAATAAATATTATATTATAATGTAAATACTAAATTTTATAAAAAGAACTATTACTCAAATATTTTTAAACTTAAAATATTTTAAAAATATTAAAATATATTTAATACAAAACCAATACTGGTTTGAATTACTAAAAATAATAGGTAATTAATTTTTTTATCATATTTGTAATTAGATTTATGATCATCATTTTTAAATATATAGTTATTAGTTTAATAATTGTGTATTCGATTCAAATAAAAATAGAAAAAATAAATATATATTGTTTAGTACATACAATTTCTTTTTATTATTATACTTTAAACACTTATAAAATATACAGATACATTTTGTGTAAATATTACTGAACAGTATATGCATATTTGTATGCAAATATATATAGATAAAAAAAACCAGGATGTTGATTAAATCACTATTTACAAAACTCAATATTTTACGAAGCCCATTTAAGACAGCGTGTTGCCTGATGTATACCTAAACATGATATACAACAATACCGTGCACCACACGTTGTACAAGTGTATGAACTTTGAAATCCACAGACGGCACAAAATATACGACGTGGTAAATTAGATGAAGGTGCTTCTATTGTAATATAGTTTGGCTGATCTCGATTGTTAAATTGATCAGCTTCAATTAACTGTTCAAAAGTCCGACGAAATCTGTTGTAAAATATATTGCAATTAAAACAAGGAATAAATATTTATTATATTATATACAATGTTTGTATTACTTTTGTTTGTAATATTCAGCACTCTTCTCCTTTTTACGCCTACTTCCTTTAGACTCGATAGTGTCTAAAAATTTTGGAGCTTTTTTATTCAGAACAATATCAGCATGTGGATCTTGTTGATAGTTGTCCATTTCTAAACTCTCTAGAGCTCGTCGTGCTCTACGATTTCTAGTTGCTGTATCAAGCACCTTTTTCTTATCTGCATTTTTTAACCTTCCCGATTCCCTACTCATTCCTGTTTTGGAACTCATTTTTAATTATTATAAAAAAAAAAAATTAAAATTAAGATGTTTTAGTTTTGAGTGAAAGTGAGTTGGTCCATCAGTTCATCGACACGATCTTCTAATGTTTCCAATACATCTGATGATACAAACAAATGTTCTTCATCCAGTTCTTGAAGTATAAATTTTTTTCCAAGAGCGTTGGTTTGATCTAATTGCAACAAAAACTGTTTCATTGACTGATCACTTTAAAAAAAAAAAAAAAAATTAAATTATAGTTTCATTGATAACAATTGTTATTATTAATATTGTTATTCTAGAATTCATCAAAGAAAATGTCTAAAAGAAAACAAGTAAGCGCAGAGGAAAAGCGTATTAGAATGCTGGATTTGTTTCACGAGAAGAAAGATTTTTTCCAGCTCAAAGTAAATTTAACAATAATTTATTTATATTTTCAGGAACTGATTACTTAAACAATGTTTTTATTAATATCAAATACTGCAACTAGACATTTTTATTTTTATGATTTGTATTATTTATATAAATATTGATTACAAAATATTGTAAAAAATGGATTGACTGTCTAGGAATTAGAAAAAATTGCACCCAAAGAAAAACAAATTATAGTACAATCAGTAAAAGATGTCATCCAAAATTTGGTTGATGATGGATTAGTGGACACTGATAAAATAGGAACATCAGTATATTTTTGGTCATTTCCAAGGTAATTGATAAATAATCATACTATTTTAGTACATAAAATATATTTAATATTGATTTAAAATTTACAGCAAAACAAAAATCGCTAAGAAAAATCAATTAGATAATGCAAGATCTAAGTTGGACGAGTATCAAAAAAAGCTTGACAAAAATATGGAAGTTATCAAAAGAGAAAAACTAGAAAATTCCAATAAACATGAAAAACAAGCCCTGTTGGATAAACTTGAGGTTCTCGAAAAAGAAAAGTTATTATTAGATAATGAATTAAGAAAACATAAGGATTCTAATCCCGTAGAATATGAACAAATGAAAAATAGTATAAAGGTATGTAACTAAAGGTTAAAGTCTGGTAGTAGAAAAAAAGTCAAAATATTGAAAATGCCAAATGCATATATTTTCCATGGGCTTCTTTAGACTAATGACCCGAGATTGAATTGAGATTTTCTCATGTTCTGTTAAGATATTGCGGCTTTAGAGGTGCACATTCAAATACTTGGACAAATTGTATTATTCATAGATGCTGTTTGGCTTTTGGGGTCAAAACTAAACCTATATATATTGAAAAATGCTAGTGGTTTTCTATTGGTATAGTGTCCAAATAAAACAATTAACAGTCAGAATTTCAATATTACAATTCTTTAACCTTCTTTAACATGCCTTTTGGGTAGATAAATGAATAAGTGTTAAAATTACTTATATTTGTGAAGAAAGTTAAAATATTTATTTTAACTGAAGAACATTGATAAGATAAGTAAGAGCATAGAAAATATATGGATTATTTTTCAATATTTTTTTTTTAACCCTAAGAGGCAGATTTTCAGAGATAAAAATTAGTCTCAGAAGGAAATAGGAAAATCGAAAAAAAAAAAAAAATGAAACATTGACAATGCTATTTAAACTAACAATATAATATGAAAAAATTGCATAAAATAAACCTAAAAAAATACTGCAAAAATATATTGGAACAAAGATGTACATATTTTGTATTAAACAAATATTATTTTTCAGATGGCAAAAGACGCTGGAAATCGTTGGACAGAAAATATATTTTCAGTGAAATCATGGTGCAAGAATAAGTTTTTCATTGAAGACAGCATCATCAACAAACAGTTTGAGATACCAGAAGACTTGGATTATATAGAATAGAATAATTAAAATATTATTATATTGTTCTACATATTATCATACTCACCATGTAATTAATGTTCCCTTGGAAACATGAACCATGTTTTTTAATAAATTTAAAGTTATGTACTCTTTCAACACAATTACCAAAGTTTACGTATTATGAGAATTGATGTTGTTTTTGGTTTCTTTTTAATAATAAAATTGCAAAAATGTCAATTAAAAGGTGAACAACAAGACCAACAGACAACGAATATCAATTTTCGATTGTGATAAGACGCGATTGATATTGATGTTGGACACGGAAGTCGACGATTTCGATAAATTTTTTTCGTGATAATGCAACCGCTATTAAAGATATTTTCTTAAGACAAAATATATTTTTAATCGTGAGTGCAACTCGTATAACCTTATATTGTTAGATCATATAGGTACATGAATATGTTTCCAACACATAATAGTACAGACTAACCCTTCATATTATTATGTCTATGGGTGCAACTTCCGTAAGCCAAAAGTGTTAACTCGGTTAATATGGTTAAATATTTATTAAAATTTTTAAAAAAAATTCAATAAAATATTTGACTGTATGAACCGGTCTTTACGCTAATACACACAGATTATATGTTTTATATAATATGTGCCTATAGGGAGTGGAGGTTATCATGATTGAAATATATGTTTAAATCATGGTCTGAACCATCTGTTGTATTATATATCATGGTTAAAATTTAGTGCCTGATCTAGGTTTTAGTATACGAGGTTATTGAGGAAATATGTATGCCTTTTCAATCGAATATTTGATCCATATTCTATTGTATATGATCTATATTGTACCAGCGAATTTTTTGATGAAAAAAATTAATAATTGTGTCTTGTGATATCTCTAAGCCATGTTTTCACCATAAACATCTGTCGACGATAATGTAACAGCGAGGCGATTATAGTTTCAGTTAAGTTGTACAGTTCTCATCTAAAAACTGAAATGCAACTATGCACTTTTTAGTTTTACGTAATTCAGTTGTCAAAATGGCTTCATCGGATGAGGATATACTTGTAGCATTCATCTATTTGAGACATAAGAAACAAAAAAAAAAATATGGACTTCTTATTATTCATTACACATTAACCACAGTTTATTCATATCATCCAGAGAATTAGACCAAGATCCAACAATAAATCATATAGACAAGCATGGCTTTCTATAAGTTGTACAAAATTTACATTTTTTCCTGTTCATTTGTCATTTTAAATAAATGTATAAAATATACAATAGGTAAATAGTACTAAAAGTAAAACAAATAAATTCAACTACGCGATCGAGCAACTAGTAGGAAGAGACTGACATGCCGAGTTACTTAATTATAGTATCAAAACAGTCTAGTTGATTTTTAGTCCCGTTGCTACCGGTGAGCATATGTCAATTAATCAATTAGACTCGGGCACACAGAACGCGGGCTGCGATCGCCGGACTGTCGCGGCGGTCAGCGATCTGGTGACGCCACACACACCATACGTTTGTTTCATAAACGGTCTAGTATAAACACATTATTTTTCACAGTTGTTACGATGTATCCAACTGTAGTTGTTGTCCTATAGTTACAATATACATATTATTTTTCATCGTTTTGCGCTTGTACCACTTATTATTCACTCAATATGTCAAGTTCTGACGACGAGCAACTTCTTCTATTTGCCCTTCTCAATAAAAGAAAAAAAACAATTTTTTTCCTACATTTTTATAAACTTGATGGGCTGTATCGTAATAAGAACAAATATTTTCTAACTAATTCAATCAGAATTTCTGTTTCTGTCACCCTATTATAAATTTAATAGAACTTAAAATCAGATTGCCCCGCAGAATTCTGTAATTTTGCAAAATTTTATCACCTGTCGTCGAGATATGTGTTGTCCGCCACTACAGAACGCCCTCTGTGTGACGGGAATAATGCGATATTACGTAATACAACTTAACCGCCTTATGGCCGCGGTAAAATATTGTAGCCCGCTGCGACAGACCACGTTCTGTGTGCCATAGCCTTTAATAATATATGTTGTATCGCGTCACGGTTACATTGCCGTCGCCAGTTGCTTTCGGTGTGAACACGGCTTTAGGCAGCCATTTTGTACCTAATAGTAACGATGCAAATTCCAAATATCCAATAGCCCGTATACTTCAACAATGGTTTTTACTGAATCTCGGGGAATGACAGCTGCAGCCGCAGCCGTTATTCGTTGCCGCGGCCAACGCAGTGGTACCAACTCAACACTAAATTTGTAAACTCCTTGTGTTTCAATCGAATTTTGTTTGTACACATTTTTGTTTAGTCCCCTCCCTTTCTCTTTTTTATTGTCACTTATCCCTCCATGACTTAATTGTTGTTGATCATCGAAGCCGACGCCCCAGCAACGCCAGAAAAAGACAACACTGTGTAGCACTCTGTCCGGCTGGCTGGTTCATCGTTCGTCGTTCATCGTTCATCATTGTTACTTTGTAGTTGTTTATGTGTTGTACTGTACTGTGTGTGTGTGTGTAGCGTGCCATCGTTTACTGAGTATTGACTTCTTTGTTACTGCACATTATTCTTATACAATTCTACCGACTCTCACACTTCGTTAATTGTACATTCTGCATTTGCTGTTCTTCCAAGTTATTTTAGGTAACATATTACATTTTTATTACGTAAAATAGTATTATAATTTAACAAGACTTATTTTATAATTCAGAGATTTCAGATTTGGTCGCCGACACGTCCTGAACACTCCTAGCTAAAGGGATCAAACTCCATTACAAGTATGAATAATTTTTTGCTTTACCTAGTTATTATTTTAAATAATTTCAGCGTCCTCCATTTTGTTAGTGCCTCGCCAGTGCCACTTGAAATGTATTAAAATGTATATCAAGTAACTCGCAGGTATATATTATTTTACCTATTGTCGGTACTGGTGGAACGATTTGCTGGGCCCGGTATAATTTTTTTTTCTTAGTGCGGGGCCTCAGTATTTAACTTAACGAAAAGTACGATATAGGTACACATTCAGCCAGAGTTGGTAATCTACATATATAAAACATTTTATACGTTCTACGTATAATACTCCACGTTGAAAACTCGTAATAAACTTTATAATGAGTAAGACATTATTTTTTTTTCCCTATAAGTTTATTTTATTTTACATTGGTTATCACATCAACTTTGTGAATTTTCTTAAATTTAGATTAGAATAAAAACAAAACTAATTATTTTCTGATATTATAAATGTTAATATAGTTGTTAATAAAGAATACAGATGAACTTAGTAAGTAATTTTAGGGTTGGAACGTATAATACAGTAATAAAGCATAAAACATGTATTATATGTATGTATAAAACGTAGAGTCTAAAACTATTTGGTAAAATAATTGTCTATTTAATTAAATTATCATTTTATATATTTTATAATAATTAACTTAAATATATGTGATAGTTTGTTATATTGATTACTAAATTCATCTTCATTTTTTTAACAATAACTACATTAATATTTATAATAACAAAACATAATATTTTGTTTATATTATAATAAATTAAAGAAAATTCATCAAACTGATGTAATTTGTTAATTTTTTTTTTTTTTAATTTATAAGTTTAAATATTTGTTATATTTTAAAACGTACAGTATTATCGTTCTAATAAACTTGAGGAAATAAAATGTAGTCGTTATAAAGTTATAGACGTGTAACACTTAAGAAAGTTTTATACGCGTATATTACCAACTCTGTATTTTACTAAGAATTGGAGATATATGTATGAAAATTATAAATTGAGGAATAATGTTATTAAAGAAAATTAATTTTAATTTGCCTATTTTATACTTAGCAATTTTCTTTTTTTTAAACACTACAATTTTAAAAAAACAAAAATGTATTCAAAAGCATGATTAATGCCAGGATATGTGATGATTTTTTAACTCAGTACTCTAAAATAAACATTTAAATACAACATTTATCAATGGTCTGGTCCGATTCACACTTGCATGGGTTCTGCCCGTTATTATTGTAACAGTCAATTTTATAATAAAACATTTTGAATGTTCAATATTCAATGTTAAGAATGATGGTACAATCAAACGAAAATATTTAGTTACAGAGTTGTAACAATTTAAATGCTCATATACGGTATAAGTTTGGCCCTTAGTGTAAAAAAAAAAAATCGGAAAGCTACTTTTACAATTTTCATTTCCCTTACATTATATATGTTCTGCAGTGAGAATTTCTACTTGACAAAATATTATTAATCCTTATATTTCCGCTGCTCTATCACTTTGTGATAGAACTGTTGATTACCTCTATGAATTCTATTTTTCCTTTCAGTTTCATTATTGTGTTTGGTTTGTTTTTGTGCACAAAAAGTCCTAGGGAGTGGGCTCCCATGACCTTACATATGCTCCATTTGCGAAAAGAAAATTTCCAATGTGACTTATATGAAATAAAATTTGTAAACCAACATATATCACCCAATTATAATTATGTTAAATGTTCACCTTTTGATTACAATTAATTAAATCTTTAGTGGTTTTTTCCCTTATTTTAGTTGTTTTAAACAGTTATATTATCATTCATTACCATTAGCCGCAAGTCAATTAGAAGTTAATTAAAAATGATTACATTAATTCTGTGCAATACAGGTAGATATCGATATAATGCTGATTAAGAGATTTTTTTTTTTTTTTAAAATGACTATTTCATACATACAGTTAATAAATATATTCAAAAATTTGATTTCATCGTTTTCAAGTAAAGTTTGGTTAGCTAGTGGTTTACTCTATTGTAACTTAATTACCTTGTATTATCCTATCTTACCAGTTGTCTACCAACAACAATGGTGTAAAGTATTTTGTGAACATTTTTTTCGTTTAAGTATTTTAAATTAAATTAATTATTATTGTATTATAATATTGATAGATAACTTGTTATCTTGTTGTATAAACAACAAATTGTGCTAAAAAAATTATCTATATCTTATTCCAATTTTATGAATAAAATATACTTAGGTGGCATTTGTATATTCAATATTATATTCTAAAGATAATCGAAGTCGAGAGACTACTCTCTTTATGTTATATGTATAGTGCCATTGTTGCTACTTTGCATTTTTCAGATCTTATTATATTCAATCGCAGTTCATCAATAAAATAAATTAACTTTATTTGTTTAATTTTGACTTGTAGTCCGTGTGCTGTAATATATGTAAACCATTTTTTTTGGTATAGTTAAGCGTTATTAAAATCTATTAATTCTCACTCTACAGCGAGTTGTCCTCAGTTTGGTCATTAAGGGATTCAGTGTCGGTTTTCCAAATTTTCCTTAATTTTGTAATATTTGAAATTATTTTTAACATTTAAATATACATTTTAAAGATAAAGACTTTTCCTCTAATTTACTACCCTATACCTCTGTGCCTCTATTTAAGGAAACAAGAACTACTATTTTCTTAAAATTATTTTTTTTTTTTAAATAATAACATTCAATTCAATAGACTGATTTTTATTTAAATTAAATTAATGGTATAAAAAAAAAGTTTGATAAACATTGAAATCAAAATACTAAAAACTAAAGTTAGCAGAGATTTTTTTAGAAAATTCCTCCAATAAAAAGCAAAAACAATGAAATTTGACCACTAACAACGCATAAGAATAATTGAAGTCGAAAAATGTGATGCCACTGGGCTCCTTTATCTATTGACATTAGTACTATTAATTATTATTATTGTTATTACCAATTAATAATGAAAAATTAAAAACTTATTTTTAAAAAGCTATATTCATAATTTTGTAATTTATATAATAATTTATATTTTATTTTGAATGATAATAAGTTTATTATACTAGAAGGATTTTAACCCTACATTACATGCGCACCTGTCTAAAGGACCTGGTTATTTTATTTGTACACATAACTCGCTACTATCACTATTACTAATTGATTTTATATTATTTTATTTTATTTTTTTTGCAGATACCAGACTAAAAAACTGCAATTTTTTTAAAAATGGATAATTTGAATGTAGTAAAACAGTGCAAGGAATGTGGCAGTGAATTCCTTAAACAAGAAGATTACATCAGCCATGTAAAATCACATTTCACTTCAACCAAAGCTAAAAAATCCACAAACAAAAAAAATAAACTCTCCACTAAAGCTAAAAAATCTAATGTCGCCACTAATGCCAAAAAAACTAATGTCGTCACTAATGCCAAAAAAACTAATGTCTCCATTAATGTCAAAAAAACTAATGTCGCCACTAATGCCAAAAAAACTATTGTCGCCACTAATGCTAAACAAACGGGATTCTGTTGTTCTATTTGTAGTAATTTGTATATTTCTCTGGAATCTTTAAAAAATCATGAATACACTTGCCATGCAAATAAAAATGAAAAGCCTACTGAACCAGAAACTAACATTGACCAAACAAAAGAAACTGAAGTTGTTGTGGATGCACAGGCTGAAAATATTGAACCACCAACAACTGAATTGCCTGCGAAACCAGTGAAGTGCTGCATGTGCAGTGAAATCTATGTTGACAACGTATTCATTTTTTCCCAAGAGTGTCATTATCAAATTGAAAGTTTATTTCCTAAATTTGATAATGACACTAAAAGGATTTGCTTAGGTTGTCACTTTTCTATGTGCTCGGAAAACAATCCAGTCCCTAATAAAGGCATTAGTGGCGATATAGATAAAGAAAGAATTATTACATTACCAATTGGATCTGATCAAGTTCCAGAATTTTGTTCCCATACTGATCTATTACAAAATCTTACTTTAACTCCTAAACCATTTAATTGTACATTTTGTCAATCTGTTTGTGAGAGATTTGATCACTATGAAATACATAACTGGCTTCCACCAATTGCAACAGAAGTTATTGAGCATCCTCACGATGAAGTATTGGAACAACTCACATTAGACCCCCCTCAGACATCTAATTGTATTTTTTGCAATACTGCTTGTAACATACTGGAACATGTTGAAGTTAATCGTTGGGTTCTACCAGAGGAGGAAAACTAGTTGCCTGGAAAGCCATCAAATACTTCAGATGAAGACTACGTTTGATATGCATGATAATAATGAATGAATAATTTGTTGTGTATTTTACTGAAGGAATTGTGAATTGATTTAAAGATTAGAACATGACAGTATCTATGTAAATTGTATTTTAATATATTTGTTACAACTCTCGATAAATTATCTATTTTTTTTTTTTATGTTTGTTTTTATTAATTATATGTAGTAAACAGCTTAAAAATGTTACAAAATTGTTTGGTGGTAAATTTACTGTCCATTTTGATTTTTATAATAGTTTCTATAGTAATAAATAAATTGCCATCAACCTATTGTCAAGATAGTTATTTTTTAATAAAGTGTGAAAAAAATGTAAACTTGTTTATTTTTAAGGGAACCTTATAAGTTATTATTATTCAGTTTAAGAGTAACATTTTAACAACACTCCTCCCCTTCTGTTGAAATTATAATTTTAATTGGTCTCTGGTTATGACGTCAATCATGATTTTGGACTTATTGGGCTCCTGAGAACTTGTGTTTCAGGAACAATGTTAACATAATGTCTGTAGTGTCCTAATTCTGTATATGTGACATTATTAATGTGTATGACCATCTGTCACACTTTGTCTAAATGACAACCCAAGTTGTCCAATTACTACGGCTAATATTTCTTGTACCATATATGATCAGCACGGAATTATTGAATCTATATTTTGTTTGAAACTAGTTTCTAACTGCTGTTTATATGTTTTAGATTTTTTTAAGAAATGTTTACATTCTCTTTCTATGAATTATTTGTTTTTTTATCCATTATTGCTTTCTGTGTAATTAAATCCAAGTTTGATTTTAGATCTGCTTTAAAATAACCAGGTTAGACTTTTAAGGTAAAAATCTATTTAATGACGAGGCAATTGCTGATTAGTTAAGTTCAACTTCTTGTAAAATATACAAAAAAAATTTTTTTTAATGCTCAAAGAGCTTGTGTTAAAGTGAACACAAATCTTTCAACTTCACCTGGTAAAATATGATGTGTTGTCACTTACTAGTACTTTGAATTAACGGTGTATGTTATATGTTCTAATTTTCCTATGGTATTGGCAACTAATGCAAACTGGGATTAAAATCTTTTGCCATTTTAAATGTACATTGACAACCAATTAGAAATTGGTGTTATATAATTGAGCAATAATATGGAATTAGGTATTATAATATTTTCATTATTATTTTTCAAATAATTTAAACTTTTTTGGTATGTTGCAGTATTATGGATTTAAAATTTTAATTTTAATTGATTCTATTATTTTATAGTATCTATTTTATTAATTTTACTAACTTAAATATGTTTCATCCTTTTATAAAATATAAATTGATTTTATGACTAAACAAGCTTTGCTTTTGGAGATGATGTCAAATACAGTTAAGATTGTTTTAAGATCATAAAATTTATGGTTTTTATTTATACATAATATTTGTGATTCTTGTTTGTTAATATATATTTTATATGAATTAATAAATATTATTTATTATTAATGCTCATATAAATTCTTGTTTCATTTAAGTAAAATGCCTCAAATGGTAGTAATACACTCAAAGCTTTTTTGTTGGCCACTTCAGGATATTCTAATGTTCCAAAATCTTAAAAGTGAATATGAAGAAAATATCATTCGTAACAAAGAATAAGATGAAATTTTGATAGATTTTTCTGTAGTTGTGAACTGGGATACTGACTTTTCACTAAACTGCTCTTTAATCTGATTGTATTTTACAAGAAGCTTATGGTTTTACAAAGATGTTTGTTTTTTTTTTTCTGTAGGAAACTTCAACTAACAATTATGCTTCTATTTACAATAATAGTACTTTCTAAAAGTAAATCTGACCTGGAAGATATTTTTAGAGATCATTTTTCGATTTTCCCAACAAATGTAAATAATAGGTAAAATCGTTACATCAAAACATTTTTATTAAAGAAAATATATATAATAACTAATTATTTTACCATAATATGAGTATATGATGTGTATATATTGTTGACAAAACATCACTGAACACCTAGAATTATTTTTTTGTTGGGAATGGTTTATCGTTGTTTGCAGGTATACTTAAAATTATTTTTATGAATTTTTATGAAATTTTTACTGAAATTATTTTTATTGAAGTCATTGGTAATTCAAGAACATTTAAAAATGAACAATAAGTGGTTTTACCATTTTGATCTCTTAGTTTCCTTTACCTTCGATCGATTTTTTTTAATAAAATCAATCACTTTATCATTTTATTTCAGAATATGAGTTTCTTTACCTTGTAAAGTTATGTTGACCATATTGAGTTTTTCAAAAATGTTAAATAAATACAATAATTTAATCACAAATCACTATCAATAAACTTAATAGAATAATTATGACCTTCACTCAGATAAGTGTCAAGATCTTGTTTAAGTTCTAACACTCGTACTAGTACGTTATCTTTTGATAGCCATCTAGAATTACAAATAAATAGTAACACAGTACGCTCTGCTTCTAAAACTGATGGATGTGCCTAATCTCTTTAGTAGGTTCATAGGTTTATGTATAATTATTTTCTCTAATGGCTATGTTATTATATTTTTCATATATTTGTAATATTTTGGATTTATAATGAAATAATGTGCTGCCAGATCAGCTATTTAAACTAAACCCATTTTATTATGTACATTAAATATTAATTATACATAGATATAATTTTAAAAAAAAATATAAGGGCTGTAAAGATGTTACCTCAACCTTACCCCTGTTTTTTTGTAATAACATAAACCACGGTCATAATATAGATATAGGTATACATTTCGAATTAGAAAATTCTAAATGAGTGGATTAAGGTAATGTACTTCTATACAAATTTGGTTACCTATACAATAAGCATAAAAGAAGAATTTGTGATTATAAGCAGGGGCGTAGTGGTCGGTCTGAAAAATAAGAATTTTGCAGATGGACTGGACCATATTTTGGCCTGGTGATTTTATGTTGTTATATTTTATTTACGAATAATTTGTTTTAAAAACTTCAAAACTATAAAATGATTGTAATATAATTATTATATTATTAATGCAATAATGTTACATTTTAATAGCCAAGTATTATAATAATTTGGGTTAGAGAAAGCAAAACATATATATAATTACATAAATATAGACATCAAATAAAACAATATCTGGCCGTCGATAGATTATTTTTATAATAAAATACCCGGATAACTTGTGGTCTCAGAACTAATAACTACGAAAATAAATTATCTTACTGATAAGACGCATTGGCTGTTGAAACTCAAAAGTTGTTTATACATAGAGTGGTTACAAATGGCAATACTTAATTGAATAATAACTAATAGCATACATGTAATCAACGATAAACCATTGCTAACGAAGAAACGATTCTGAGCGGAGTTCAGTCGATAGTAATGCTTTGTGAATAATACAATATATGGTGTATGCCATATTCTGGTAAAATGTTTACAACAATGCGCGTTTCCATGACAACAATGATTATTTAAAAAAGATTAAAATAATAAATAAAAACGGTTGCCAGTGACAACCTTATTTTTAATCGTTCAATCATTTTTAGCCTAAAAACCGAGGTTTTTCTTATTGTCTAGAATATTAATGGGAATTTCAAAAAATGACCTCTAAAGTAGCACCCGGAGAACATTAACTTTCAAAAAAGATGCTATACTTGATAATCGGAATATGCTTTCAGGTAGAAAATTGTTCACGTGAAAAAAAATAACAATTGCAATACCAATACATTCCACTCAGAATCTGAAAATAGAATAATGGTTTTATATACATATTATTATTATTACATATTTTATATTAAATACAATATCTATAAATATTATAAATAATTGCTTTAAAATAAAATTCAAATTAGTGTACATATCTACCTAGTTAAAAAAAAAAAAAGAGCTGATACTGGGGACGGATGAGGCCACTGTTGTAGGTGAGAATTTGGAAGGTAGGATACGTAAGGTTATTTCATTTATTTCAGTAAACACCGATAAACCATTTCTGACGAAGGACGATTCCGAGCGCAGTTCGGTAATACACAATTTGAAGTGCCGTAATTGTTTTTAACCTAACATTCTCACTTTTTTTTCCAAATATTATGAAAAATATTTCAAAAATCACAAAAACGACCTGCATTATTATAAACACGATTATTAATACAACAAAAAAGGTCTCTTGTCGGTTTTCAATTGGAGCCATATTTGTACTAGAAAACGTGGTAGGTTTCCTTTTTAAAATACCGAAATCGTGAAAAGAGGCGTCGTCTCGTGATTTTTCGATTCAATAATTTTTTTCTGAAAGAAAACTTCCGTGTTTTTATAAAATAATGAAATCGTGAAATTGTACGTTTTCCGAAGTCTTTTCCCGCTTCAGTGCTTTTATTTAAAAATTGCGTTAAAAATCAAAAAAATGACCTCTCTAAAGTACAATCTATACAAATTGAACTTTCAGAAAAGTCGCTACACGTAAATATCGGAGAAAGATTACTAGGAGAAAACGCGTCCACAGACAAACAAGGAAAAAGAAGAAAAAACAAACAGCATTGTAAAATCAATTGCTCCCTCGCGCTCGGAATCTAAAATACACAGAATTAAAATCTATTTTAATGAAATATTTTGCGCCGTTCCCCACAAATCTTTTACTGCGTTGGGTATTCTTTTGTCTAAATCAATATATTTCTTTTATTCTCAGAAGCGTTTTTCCCCCTTACAATTATAGAAATAATACAAATTAGTCGTTTTACGTAGAATATAGAAATAATTAATTTTAATTGGAAAGATTATTTGAAATTAGTTAGTTATTATTAGAACACAGATACGTCAAGGAATATAAATTATTTGGTTATTATTCATCGTCATAAATGTATGGATATAATATATTGTTTTAGTATTTCCGGTTCTTGAAGAAATAATGAAAAATAATTTCGATAATATTTAAAATGTTCAAACACATTTTAANATTTATCATTAGAGTACGGATTTTGAAGGAGTTTGTTTTTTTTTTTTTTTTTCTATTGCTCTATAATAAAACTTTGTCAGCTACATATTCGATGTACACTACTTAGAATAAAATGCACATTTCATTTCGTTGTTTTTTTTTTTTTTTGTATTTAAGTCAAATTTTTTCAAAATGTGTTCCACATAAACGTATTCGAAATGTGTGATTCGCGTACCGTATGGTATATACGTAGTAGATTAATTTTTCATGAAACGACTATATACACGAAAATATGCTCTTGCTCTGGAAATTATCCGCTCAGAAGCAGGCTTATGAATAAATTTATTATAATAACTTTCGTCTTTTTCAATAATTTTTTTAAAAAACCCTTTTTAATGCCTTTTTAAGCTTTTTCGGAATATTTAGACAGTTTTATTGCTTTTTTTTGAGTTATTTTCTTTGGTTGTTTTTATTGACTTAAAAATTTGTACCAATAATTTATTACTAATACAATTCTCGATCAGAATTCTTTGAAGGCATTTTATAAAATGTCGCTTGAATGTTGAACTCACATCTCCATATTTAGTCACCTATTAGCACATTGTGCATAGTTATTTGTTCTGCTATGCCCGTTTAACACACTATTATTCGTGTTCAAAACAGTTGGTAGAGATAAGGGTAAATTTCGCCCTCTTCGTTTTGTATTAGTAATTCGTCCTACGTCTCACGCTGTACCTAATAAA